TCAGGACTAATCTATACTATATTATATCTTGTATATTTTATAATTTAGGCCAGTCCTTCAAATTGCATGTTGTATGTAATTTTAAATACACAAGGGTGCGCAAGTAATTAGTACTGCACGAATAAGCTTCGATGTAAAAATTACAGATAAAATATTCACATAATTTGTTAGTTAACTAGAGTACGTTGCAAGGTTGTGTTAAATCGATTCGGTGCCTTACCTACTCTTCTCATTCTGTTACAAGGTTCAGTTTGCAGACATGTGTGAAGTGTAAAAATTCACAAGAAAATTACGTCCGAAACGCAGCGCAATAAAAATAATACATATTTGAAAATGTGTGGAATTAAGAGAACTTTATTCCTTATTAATATAAATTGTCATTAAACATTGGAACCCGGTCCCCAAACGGGAACGTAATTGAACTTGAATTTTCTGTGAAAGAAGTACCGAAGAGCAATTTCAAACAAGCAATGGACATATAAAGAGATAAATGGGCCCGGCCCAGACCCTAAACGGCGAACAGGTACATCAAGTGGTAGTCAGATGATGTAGTTGTAGCAAGCAAGCTACAAAGCTGTATGGCTTAACTTGAAACACCCAGGGTGGAGTTCCAACCTTAATGTAAAGACCCAACTACATATTGAACATATCTCCTTTATTAAGTGATTTTATATATTGAAATTTACATACATTACAATTATATTGTATATATGTATAACGTTGCCTTCTTTTGTTATTTATATTTTATACTATGATTTATACTTTGATAAAGCTGAAAGTTGGCGTCCATTTATTGAATAAGCTTATAAGTTTATGAAACAACATCATGGTAGTTACCAATAGGAGAGCGAAGTGAAGTGAGCGCACAAAATTGCCCTTGACATCATTGCAATGCATATCTTAGGAGTAATAACTCCACCTCCACATCAAAAAATTGTGGTCAAGTACGACAATCCCCTTTACTTGCATATAAGGGTCTCAAATTTATTTATTTGCTCAACAGTAATTTGCTCAATTAACCCGGTTATTCTGCGGCGCCGCTTTTATCGGTTAATAGTATTACTGTTTATTAAATAATAATCCAGTGGCACTTCAATCCTATAGTATCCTATATCCTCATATAGGTCATGGCCTCAGATCGCATGTGATCGATCATTTGCATTTTCTAAAACTGTGTATTAAAATTTATTTAAAAGTGGTTGCAAAATAAACTCTTTTGCAATAACTTAGATAAAAAATATGTCATTATTTATGATTCATTGTACGGTGATACTGTTTGACATTGGACCCTATTTATTTGTTACGTTTAAAATGATGTACGTTCGCCTTCCTAAAGTAATATTAGTAACTTCAACTTATGCTATTTCTTTTGGTAAATTTGTCGAATCACGGCTCCAATTTTTTTTTACATATTTTTATCACTCGGCAATGGTGTACCATGCTATATTGTGGTGGCACATGTTTTTTAACCCCATAGAAATTAATTAAAACATCATCATTTGCGAAATGAATGTAAGAAGATACAATTTTTTGCTTTAACCTAATCTAACCTGATCACAAACGCCATTTTCTTACTCAGTTTATAACCATTATTTTCCTAAAACGAGAACGAATCAGTTGTTCTTGATCGCAGATTCTATTCTTTGATCATTTTTTGACGACTTTCTCGCCATACTTTTACCGTACCAGGAAATCCATTGCACAGCCAGTATTCAAATTCAAACTAACTTTATTCATATAGCTAACCAAGTACACTTATGAACGTCAACAGAAAATATGTTAAATTAATTCTATATTTACATTTACTACCAGTTCACAAGTCAATGGCGTAGAGCGGACAAGAAACTTTCCGCCACTCTTTTTAATCGCCAAGTTTTGAGTCATACAAATTGCTTGAACTGGCGTAAATCAATCCCAAGGATTAGAATCATTTAAATAATCGTCGAATTTATAAAAAGCTTTATTAATTAATTTACGTTTAACGACAGTTTTGAATTTATTCAGTGATAATTCTCTAATTTCGCTTGGGAGTTTGTTGTGAAAACGAATATAATTTCCATATAAGGAGTGGTTTATCTTCTGGAGCCTGGTTGGTCACGCTTAGATTTATTCTGTTTCGAGTATTACACTGGTGAAAGTCACCATTTATTTTATAATTGTTTATATTTTTTTGTACATGCAACAAGGCTTCAAGAATATATTGACCAGATAGTGTCATAATAAACAAACGCACGACCTTAGGGTTGAAAGACATATCAGGGAAACAATATAAGGTGATAAATTAAGAAATGTCACCTCCAAATCGTGCTAATTTATATCAAAAGCATCTGTGTACAAACACATAAAACAACCTTTACGTCCTTGGCAAAAAGAACATGCGCGATCAACGAACCTAAAAGGTCTCGAAAATTTTCCACACTATCTAAGTAATTACTAGTATTTAGTGAAACTTGTCTATGACCGACTTAAGATTGAATACTACTTACCTAAATCAATATACATCGCAAATATGCTAATGGCATGTTAACATACTAATAACTTTTAAATGAAATGACCTTTTTAAAGTCAAAGCACCGCCGCGCGGTGAAGAATGCCAATAAACTATCATTTTTATTATTATATACTGCTCAAAACAATTAGCGGAACAAGATTTTTCTCCTTTCTATTGCTTAAACTAAAATTAGATTTAAATTAACTTGTACGCTATTTTTTACCTTGTTAATTTGTTAATTACTACAATTAATAAAAAAAATCAATTTGTATTTTTTTTATTAAAAAAAAATTAAAATGTGCATTGTAGACGAAAAACAAAGTGACGTCTTTGAATTTTCATTACTTTCTAATCACAGAAAACACATTTTAAGTAGTTTTTTTTCAATCTTTTGAGTATTAATAGAAATTGAAGTGAGCCTTTTGAGTATTGTTATTCATTGAAGCGAGTGAGTTTAGGTCATAATGCCAGTTCTGACTGAATTGCATGTCTCCCGAGCTATCGCTTTGCTTGAAGAGGGTCGAACTATGCGTTATGTAGGAAATGATCTAGGAGGAGCCCCATCTGTTATCTACAGACTTTGGAAGCGATACCGTGAGACGGGAGAATACTCACGTAGGCGTGGTCAAGGTCGAAAGAGAAAAATTACACGTTTGCAAGATCGCTACATCGTCAACTGTGCTTTACGTAACCGCACCACAACTGCAAGAGATCTACAAAATACACTAAGGACGGCTACTGGTGTAGAAATTTCCGACCAGACGGTAAGAAATAGGTTGTTGGAAGCCAATTTGAGATCACGCCGACCAGTTCGGGCTGTGCGTCTAACAATTCAACATAGACAAGCTCGCCGACAGTTCGCGCAAAATCACGCTAATAGGCAACCAGTGCTTTTTACTGACGAATCACGATTCCGTCTAACACGTTGCGATGGTCGTCTCCGTGTTTACAGACGCCCAGGCGAGCGATACAGTGCAGCAGCAGTCCAGGAATATGACAAATTTGGATGTGGCTCTGTGATGGTTTGGGGCGGAGTTAGTTTGGACGAGCGCACAGATCTCGTCGTCGTTCCCGGGCGCTTGTGTGCTCAAACTTACATTGAAAATGTGCTCGAAGATCATGTTTGGCCCGCAGCATATGGTATGGGCCCAGATTTTCTTTTAATGCAAGATAATGCCAGGCCGCATACTGCAGCCATCACGTCAAATTACTTACGATAGCAGGAAATCCGTGTAATGGAGTGGCCTTCCATGATCCCTGACCTAAATCCAATTGAACACATTTGGGACTTGCTTGACAGGCGCATCCGGAAGCGTCCGATTGCACCTCAAACACTGCAGCAGCTCACTGAAGCGTTGATTGAAGAATGGGAGCGAATTCCACAAGAAGATATTCGGAGGATCATACGAAGCATGCCGCGTCGTTGTCAAGCCGTGATTAGGGCTCATGGAGGCCACACACGTTACTGAAAGTCACTAAAGACGAATATTCAAACGATATAAGAATATTTCTTTGATGGACCTTTTTTATCACCAATTAGTTTTTCGTCTACAATGCACATTTTAATTTTTTTTTAATAAAAGAAATACAAATTGAATTTTTTTATTAATTGTAGTAATTAACAAATTAACAAGGTAAAAATAGCGTACAAGTAAATTTAAATCTAATTTTAGTTTAAGCAATAGAAAGGAGAAAAATCTTGTTCCGCTAATTGTTTTGAGCAGTATATATTATATAGTTATTTACCTTTGTACAGACCGAAAATTGTATTATTTTGCTTTTTTGTAAACATAATGTATACACTTAAATATAAATACATTTATTTATTGTGAAATATTGTTTTTTTATTGATTTACATTGTTAATAAATAAAAAAAACAATTAATTAGAATTAGATAATTCAGCATAAAAATATTTTTGGCCGCGTAGATCGTGTAATTACGACTCTGTGCACCGTTTCATGATAAAACTAATCGCTAGAATAACTTCGGTGAACGCATTTTACTAACCACTCCATACCAATACATATTTATATTTATAATCAGAGCTGTAATGTACATACAAATACATAAATAAATTGTCTAAATGTTTATGTTTATGTTTGTTTAAATTTAAATTAGAACCATTCTTACTATTAATGTGGTCACATGTTATCGTTTGTCATGTTAAATCCATAAAATTCCATATCCTAAAATGCCGAAGTTTGATACATAGATGATTATATATCAATAGAATAATAATACGAAATATTGTTATGTAATCACGAAACAGAAACAGGCGTTAGACCTTGAGATAAAAGGTAGCGCCACTGGTTTTTTTTGATTCAATATAAATTTTCCAAAACTTTGCCAAAGTCTGCTTGCATTTCTTGTTGAAATAAAATTGCTAAGAATTTGCATTTTTCGATAGAAAATATCAACTGCAAAACGAGTTAAGAATAGAAATACTTGCGTTTAGTAACCGGGCGAAACTGAATTTGTACTAACATATTAAATTATATTAATTTTCAGGACCATACCAGCCCAGCCATGACCTGATGCTGAAGTTCTATAGCTACTTCAAGCAAGCCACTGAAGGACCCTGCACAAAACCGAAGCCCGGCTTCTGGGACGTTATAAACAGGTATAAACAGATCTTTTTTTCATTTATAAAAGCATGCCAACACTCGGTACTCTGATACATTAATACATAAAAAAAAGTGTGGCACTCGGGGACTGCCGCGGTAAAGCTATTGCATAGCATTTTTTAACAACTTATGCAGTTATAATTATTTATTTATTTTTTATTTATGCAGTATTTGTTTTTCTTTGATATTAATTCAATCTACCACTCTACCAGACTCAGACTAAAACGCCTATATAGTCTGTCTCACTCTATCGCGTACCGGCTGCATCGGCCGCGCTCACGCTACGTCACCGATCTCGTCAGAGAGATGGGAATGTGCAGTATGCGTTCTGTCCCACTCTAACGCGTATTTGCCGCCTATTACGTTTTCGTGTGTTAGGTTTTTTCGTTACGGAATTTCTTGATTCGGTCGCAGCGCTCAAAGCCCGCGATAAAATGTATGCAATAGCTTAAAAAAGAAAAAAAAAGAGGTGACATTTACTTATAGGTAAACATAAGTAACACGAAGATAAAAAACTAATAGAAAATTTATTTCAAAGTGTGATATCAATTATGGTTATCCAGACCTAGCTCGTTTATCAGAATATCGGTAACTTTTGGCCAAAACGCGTTCTTCTGAAAGGAGGGACAAATGGGTTGATGGGATGCTTATGGTATCTACAGGGTAATTTAATAAGGTAGGCAATCCACCTGATTCATAAATATCACCAACGCAAACGATATATGAAAAAATTACTATAATAATAATATATAATAATATAATTTATTAATTGCAAGAACAGAATGTTAAGGTGATACAATAGTAAATCGTTCGCATATTCTGCCACACACGATGGCGCGCAAATTTGTCCCAAGGAACTCCACATCATTAGTCAATTCTTATATTATCTAGTCTATTATACTACATCATTAATTTTATATTAATTACGGTGTTTCACGCAAATAATCATTTATTGAATAGTACATTTTTTCTAAAAGTAATACACTAAGTCGCTTTTTAAAGACTCTAGACGGAAGATCCTTTAATTCTTTTGGTAATTTATTGTACACTTTAATTGCCATACAAAAGGTTTTTTTCCGAAACAGTTCCAGATTGATTTTTGGCGCAGCCAATTTCTTCCCATGTCTACTTCTTACTTCAACTTCTACATTCGACTTAAAAATATGTATGTTTCTGTGCACGAATAAGGATATATTATCATTTATAGTTACTGTCGTAAAAGTCATATAGCTATAGTTCCATTGAAACCACTACGAACGCTTTTCGTAACACACATTTCAATACAATTACATCGTATAGGTCACGAGGTCTACGATGTTATTTTGCTCTATATGATGAGTAATAAATATATATTGTGGTTTGTTACGGGGTATTTTGCGTTGTTTAAAGCTGATACTTGAGTTACATCGAAATTCGTAACAAGATGTTGTTTTAACTAATTCCCTTAGTAAAAAAGAATAGTTTGGAACCTGCTGTTATTTCAATTAAAAAAGCTAAATTTAAATAGCATTTAATGATAGCCATTCACATAAAATAGATGATAAACATAAGTTTATGGTTTTAGAGCGAAATGGGAGGCTTGGGCAAAACTAGGCGACATGACAAAGGAAGAAGCGATGGAATGCTATGTTGATGAATTACATAAGGTATGTTTGCTTTATATATTTATCTCGCCTGGCAAACGTTGAAATATTACATAAATATTGACATTAATATATTTCATCAGTAACCACTAACCCTACATTTAAAAAGAGTGGCGGAGAGTTTATTGCCAGTTCTTCTTTTTCGTTCTACACCCTCGATTTGATAACTGGCAGTAAATGTAAAATTAGAAGCATTTAATATGTACTTTTTTGACCATAATAAGTGTACATTACCTATATGAATAAATGAGGGAAATTATAAATATCCATACTGCTCAAATCACCTATTTATACATTCTCACCCACCACCTTGACACGTCTTGACTATTGCATCTGTTTCAAAGATAATTTTTTCATAAGGCACTTATTTTGCGAATCAGCGAACTGTGGAAAGAGAGAGATACGACCTCCAATTGCTTAAAGTAAGAGTATACTCCTCCTTCACTCAGATTTGGTGCTGAGTAACTTCTATATGTTAAATATAGATTCACGCATCACTATGACGTAATTCTTCTATATAATATTCGTAAAATATTCATAATCGACAGATCAAAACATAAATTTCATATTATCGACAGATCGTCGAAACAATGTCCTTAAATTCGAACGTTGAGTCATTCTTAACGTTGAACGATAATGGAGAAGGGTTTCCCAGTGCAGACTTGCAACTTGTTGCTGGCGATATTTTGGGGCGTGGTCGGGAGGAATCGCAACATAATTCACCTGCTTGTAAGTATTTTACGCTATTTTAGTTCAGCGTCGATATTCTTTTAATAGCTCTTCAGACTTACAACGATCCCAAGATTATGACGCATTATTCTAAGAGAGATCAAAACAGATATTTTTTTATTTAATATTAATCATACAATCAGTCTTTGCGATATAAGTAGATACGTTGAGTGCTTCTTAACAGATATTTAGAAAAATTAAACCGATGTCAAGTGAAAAGTAAAAATTGCTACTAAACCGATATAAATTAGGCTTGGACTGCTTGGACCTGATTAAAGTAAAATATAATCATCTCAAATTTTAGTTTCCGATAAAATATATAATCAAAATTTGCACACGTGCTTAATAACTTCTGATAACCTCTTTTTCTGAAGTTTGAAATTAGATTTTCAATAGATGAGATACGGGAAGCCTTGAATTTCATTTGTGTAATCACAAACAGTCTTTACTGGTACATCTTTACCGCCCAGGACCCTTTAACGTTAGGAGCTATATACATACGTATATAAAATAAAAAAAAGCATTGGGAAGGAATATAAAATATAAGTTGTAATAGTTTATAACACTAAATTCTCCATCAACGGAAATGTTTTATAAACACACGAAATTCCTTTTTATAATTTATTTCAATACAAACAAAAGTTCCTTCACTCAAAATACTACATCTTACGAACTAATAGTATGAGTCAATGTCTAAATGTACACGTGACTTTTGAAGGTTAGGGCTATCAAAATATTTATTTAATACTTATAGCGCCATCTATGTGTCAGCCTACGTACTTTTCAGCCCACCTAATAATATAAATAAATATATTTCAGATTCTCGTTCAGTGAGTGGTGCCTCATCACCAGTGCCTGATGAAGTTTCGTTGAGGACTAGGCATGACTCGGAGGATGAGTTTATAGACACCGTAGATGTTAGTGCCCCAGTACGTGTTACACACACGCACACATTTTAAACTTTTAGATAAATCACTAAGGTGTTGCCAACCACGTACCATAATTATATCATCATATTTAATTTTTATTATAAATGGCGGTAGTCCAAGGTTTTGAGTAAAGATTTAGTGCTAACTAAGACTCTCGTATGTCAAAATCCATTACTTACGGAAGTCATACTTAGCGCTGAGTCTCGACTCTGATTCTTACCCGAAACGACACTTGAACACAAAATTTCTCAAAAGACTAAACTTGTAACTACCCGCATAATCCAATATAAACAATTTGATACATGTTTGGTTTGTTTTTGCCAAAATGTGTTTAATATAAAGAAACAATCAGTGCTTTAGCTTAAAACGGTGTTGTAGTTTTGTTAAGTTTAGGTTTGATGAGTATGTTAATAATTCTAGCCCGAAAATTTTAATTACTTTATGCAATAAATCACTTAAAAATTAAATATATTTAGATCGAAGAGCCTGTGACACAGAGCGCACCAAGACTAAGCAACGGACACGCATATCAAATAACATCACAGCTTACTCGTAAGTATTAAAAATACGAAAAAATACATTTTTAAGGCCATTTCCCAAAACAATAATAATATTTTCTTTACTTAGATCTGAAGGTGCTAGAACAGTTGCCAGGAACCTTAGCTCGGTTAGAAGCAGATGTGGCAGCGTTGAGGAAGGCGGTGGAAGGGGATAGGAGAATATTAGATGTGAGTTTCTAAATAAAGATATTTGATTTAAGTGAAAACTTCTTAAGCGGCGTTGTACATTCTTTTTGGAATGGGTAAAAAAAGTTAAATACGCGTCAGGACACGTGACCTGATCGAAAATTCGTAAGACAGATGGAGAGTAGACAGCTTACGCGGCGTATTTAATGTAATATAAATTGTCATGTTTGTGTACGATAGCGCAATAAATAAAAAGTGTATTCTACCACATAAATGATAGTACTTTTATACTGATAATTAAAGCAATTCGTGCAAAATTATTCCCTAACCATTCCAAAATATCAAAAATGCACAACGTTAATATTCAAGTTTTCCCGGAGTTCAACCCGTCGTTTTTTTGACACGGAATGGACTTTTTATTTATTTGATAGTGCGATAGATATAAATTTTTTTGATAGCGCTTTAATACGTTTTAATTTACAATACAAATATAAAAAGTATTCTTCTAATGATACTAGATGGCGCTTCCATAAGTTTCTAAACCTTGAATACTATCAAAGTAATAAGACAAAAGAAATGTAAGACACAAAAGTGCAGCTAAAAGTAGAATTCAAAAAAAGGTCCTTTTATGGCTTTGGTTCATAATTTAGTTTATTTTTAGCTTAATTTAAATTTTTCGTTTGTCATGTAAATAGGCCTTTTTATATGATATTTTTTGTTATACATATTGGCATAGTCAAACAAGCAAACATTATTGAAAAATTTCTAATCTCGCCTTGTCTTATTGGAAAAAAATGAGATAATACTAGGAGCATATTTTTTTAATAACTTGCCTAATAGCACCGGGTATTTGGTAACAACATACTCATAGGATACATTTTAACTTTAATTATTATTTCAAATAAGGGAGCGTTCAAGTATTACGTCACGCCATTTCTGGAGATTAGTGACACCCCCCCATGTAACGCGCCGTAACGTTTTTCTGTACCCAATAGTAAAGCGTTTTGTGATCACCCAGTGACTCTTTATACCTAAAAGTTACCATTATGTGGTGTAAAGTACTGGAAAGTCGAAAATAATATTAACAATAACGCGTAATTCAATCCCCGCCCCGCACCCTAACGTTTTACAAAAGGACACCCCCCCATATAAAAATATTATAATAAGTGGTTATTATAATATTTTTTGAGATTAAATATCTATAAATCTAATATCTAAAGACATCTTTGTTACAGCAAGTATCAAGCGGATGGCGTTGGCCGTGGCAGGAGCTGAGTGCTCCGACATTGGCCTTTGTCGTAATCTGGCCTTTTGTGGCTTACAGACTCATGAACAGGACACAGAGGCACAACACTTAGTAAGATTTTAATACTTAAAATGTTGATAAATGGATGCAAATTAATTCAACGCATTATTCTTAGTTCAATCGAGTACCAGAAACGAATTATTTCAAGCGAACAAGGTTTCAGTTTGTTCTATGAAAAAGTAATCTTACTAATATTATAAACGCGAAAGTTTGTAAGTAGGGATGGATGTTTGTTACTCTTTCACGTAAAAACTACTGAATGGATTTTTATGAAACTTTACAATAATATAGCTTATACAACAGAATAACACACAGGCTACAATTTATAAAGATATTGTGTGAATTATCCAAAATATTAAGTAAGTAGGAAAAAACCTACCATCTGCGAGCTATTCTGGCGTGTGCTGCCAAAACCGCTTGAGTTACACAAATGTAATGTATGATGGAAATGTTCATCTTAAATAGTCAATATCTTTGGTCGTGTTTTTCTACGCCACGCTAATATAAGCTAAATACTTATCCTGCGCAGAACAAGTCGCGGCCACCAGCTAGTTAAATTATAAATATTAGGAGCTAGGATATTGTTAATTTTAAGTCATTATTAATTAAGAAATTAAATTTGAAACTACAAAAACTTAATGATACTTTGGTAATATAAATCAATATAAGTAGGTTATAGATGAATCAAAATTTAATATAATTATTGATTTTTCAGATAACATCGAGTAAAGTTAAGTGTACAGTCGTGCTCAAAATACATGAGAAAATCCATTAAACATCATTTTATTATCCATCCAGCTCAATGTTGCCAGATATTGAGTGGAAGTTATGTAGCAACACTTTCCGTTATAAACTTATGCAATATTTCACTAAAATTATAATAGATGTATTCTATACCAGAATATCGCGTAACAGCGATTTCAATATTAAATATTCGTACTATTCGATGACGTCATCAGGGTTCTTTGTATGTACGATGGATTAGTCATTATTAAATTCGGTATTGATTTTACTGAGTAGCGGGGCTTACATAAAATTATTGTTCACAAATTAATTTATGAATATAACTGAGAATATTGCTACTTGCTTGTGATAGTATTGCATTTCGTTTTCACTGGGTTTGTTTTGATTAAACTGGTATTTTGTATCGTGGGTTATAAATTAGTTCTTTTATATTTTTAAGGCCTTCGTGATCTTGATTTCTGACAAGATTGTAAACAAAAATAATTAGTTTATTTTAATTTTATTTTCTAAAATGGCTGACCCAATAAGACCCAGTTCAAAATTTGAGTGTACTCCTCCCTCAAAGGCCGGCAACGCACCCACTAAAAATGTCTAGGCGTCTATAGGCTGCGACGACTGCCCTTTTTGGGCGTCCCGCAAGCTCGTTTGCCCCATTATATAAAAAAACGTGAGTCAGTCATAGAACAATATTGTGTTTATTTTATCTTTAAACCATAACCAAAATTTATATTCATTACGAAATTATGTAATAGAGAGGTTGCCCCCTCCTTTATAAAAATTACATTAGCTGAATATTTTTTTTAAATAAGCGCGTTGGTGTCTAATAGGGATGTATCCGATACCGATACCGATATATCGGTGATACTTTGGGTTTGCCGATATATCGGCATCGGCGATATTTTCATTGCCGATTCACCGATACTTTTCAAATTTCACGCTTTAAAAAAATAATGTAAACGCCTATTTTGTATGATCTAGTTTGGTGCAAACGAGCCACGGACTATTGTTGCCCGAGAAATCCCCTAATTTTATTCAGTTTGTTGTCTCTATCATTCGCTTGGGGACAAAGCATTATTATTTATGTATATATGTATTTCATTTCGCTAAACACTATTTATTTATTAACACTTTGTTGCATTACAAAATTGAACATAATTAAATGAAAAGGAGGGCAAAAATACATATTACATATAAACTATATATGTAATATGTATAAAGTCTACATTAAAAATAAAAAGTGCACATGAATCACGATAATTTACGATCAGTCTCACGTCAGTTAGTAGTTAGTACGAAAAACTCTCGTTGGATTGATTAGTAGATCAAAATTTTTACTCGAGTCAACTATCTTTGCCAGCGCATATTTATTAGTTATTTTGGCTTGCGGGAGATCGTTGAGACTTTATTGAACGTAGATTTGAAGATCATTTAGTTGGCTTTTATCTGCTATCGCGAGTAGTATTTTTTCGATACCAAATTTAATAAAATACAGAATTACAACAATGTTATCATTGTTAATTTTAATTATTAACAGTTATTTATTTTATTTTAATTATTATTCTTAATTTTAGTAACAAAATCTTTAAAATAATTCAAAGTTTGTGACTATTTTTTGTGTATATATTTTTTTAATAAACATTATAAACTTTACCTTAACTTGATATATTTTACCTTAATTTATCGACGATATTCCTATAAGTGTATCGGCATCGTATCGTCAAAAAAGCGTATCGATGCATCCCTAGTGTCTAATTTTGTTTCAAAGTTTTTTTATAATTTATATATCCACTTTGACAATTGACAACACATACAAGTGTTCTTGGCACCATCTGTTAAAAAACTTATATACAGCGCCATCTAGTTTTAAATTAAGATCACGATTACCACATATTTTACCATACATTTTATTGTTACCTGTTACGTATAGTTTAAAATTATTTAGGTTATGTTATTTGTGATACGTAGGTTATAGTGACATTTGATTTGCAAATTCGAGACCTCCTTTAGTGCAAATTAGCTTGGATTCAATATATGACTAAAAATGTTTTATAATGATAATGTTTTATTTCTCAAAGGCCCCTGCCCTCTTATGCATTCACATATAAATGTTGTTTGTACGAAAGGTTCTCTTTTTTCGAAAATATTTTTATTGTATTCCTACTCAATACAATTGGTACTAAATAACTGAACCATAAAATTGTTAACATACTTGAAATGCCATTCTCAAAATTAGTAGAGACTGAATAAAACTTAAATCCTTATAAGGGACATAGATAAGAAATAACCAATAAAGATGCAATGCAAAGGTTATTTAAGTTTTTTATTGATTTTTGTTCAAATTCACCGGGCCTAAATTTCATAATTGAAATACATGACCGTTGGTTCATTAATGCTTAATTTAAAATTGTTAAAAACTTATAGTCACTAACATAAGACACCTAATTAATAAAAACTAAATCAGTATTATTATCCTACAATTCCATGAAATGTTGGCTTATGCATGAAGGTTAATCTGCTTTCAATTTGTGGTTCATGTTCTGATGAAAATATAATGTATTGAGACTGATTTGGGTTTTATAATTAGGCGGTAATAGTTAAAGGTACAGTTGTGTAATGACGAGTATAATGTTCAAATAATATACTCAAATATTAAAATAATATCCCAATACCAGTTTGTGTGGATTAGTTTCTAGTACTGGTATAGCTTTGTTGAAAACAAATTTAGATAAGCGCCATCTATTTACCGAATATGACACTTCAGTTACAGTTAAACTGTTGTGATACTGGCAGCAGTGTAGTTTTTAAATTTTACCATAATTTTGTAAATCAGTCAATATTTGTATATTTGTTACTTTAATAAAGTAATGGGGGTTTTGTAAACATTGTTTTATTTTAAACTCCACGTGATCAGTAGATGACTGGTAATATTTCCTTAAGACAGAAATATAGATAAAGTATAATAGATAACAAAACGATCAATCTGTCAAATGAAATTTGATAAAAGTATGAATTAACAAGGAACCTAAACGTGGTACATGGCGAATAACCCACCCAGGACATAGGTTCAATGCCGAACAACGCATTGGTCTTGGTTGATAGGCGCAGACAATGAAACAGACGCAGTAATGTCTATGCTCTATAGGCAAGTATTTTAGGGATCCCATACACGATCACCACTTACGAGAGTAAAACATAAAATAAGTTATAATAAAACAATATTTTCAGTTCCTATTTATTAGAAACAAAATGTACCTTAACCATTAAATCACTGTATCAAAATAAAACGTACGTAATATCGATAATAAAATAAACATTACGAAAAATAACATGGCCCGCAATAAACTTAACTATTTACAAATTAAAATCACATTTCGTTAAACGATAAAAAATACGAAACAAATACTTGTACTTTTTAGGCGTTATCAATAACTTTATAATATTTTCATTAAACCAGCTTTCTAGTAGTTCCGAATTGTAAAAATAGATGGCGTGGCGAAGTAATTATTCAAAAGACATTGTTAATATTTTAATTACGCATTTTAAGCAAGCGAGATTCCTATGCATTACATAACAATAGATGCCACTTTGACAAATATTGAAAATATAAAAGTTATTGAAAAGGCCATAATTTCGCATTTGAAACTTCACTTTCTTTTGAAAAACAAGAGAAAAATTAAGTAAAGATCAATTGGTGAAATTCCAGAGCTTCAACACAAATAACAAATACAAGACTTACATTAACTTAAAAATTATTTTATTACAATAAGTTAAAGCGAAATTGTCTTCTCAGATTTTAATGCAAAATTTATAAATTTATAAGACGAATTTAAGAAAAATTATCAATAATTTACCTTAATAGAAATAAATAATATCGGCGAAGGTTGATATAAATCAAATCAATAACACATTTATAAAACAATATGGATAAAAATGCATGCAAAATACCATTACCCCATCTTCCAGAAATTTTTACATTACAACAGTTCAATACTTTAAAACTAGATGGCGTTAAAGACAAATGAAGCTTCCATTAAAGCTCAAGAACTTACCTTATGAAAACCACAAATTTTGCATCAAATTCTTAAAGTAGAGGGCGAATAAAACTTTGTATCAATACAAAAAACTACAAATACAATAAGGTACAACGTTGTAAAGAGAAAATATTTTCATATCAACGCCAAATATACTGTGATCAAAGCGAGGGAGGGTGACCTCGCGCATCCAGTGATTGTCCTTCAACGGGGCTTATGTAACAAACACATTTTTTGTGTGTATGCTATCCATGGTTGTAATACGAGACGTTTATCGCCTCGATTATTCGTTTGTAACATAAGACTCAGGACCCTTAAAAATAACTAGATAATTGTCTGTTAATAATGTGTTATGAAAACAATTTCCTTGGCTTTTAGAAAAATTACCTATTTGGGGAGTAAAATGTCCCACTGTACACTTAAGTGGTATAAAATGTACATTATTTCATCGAATTTCAATATTTAATCATATTACGTATAACTTAGAGCTGTTTTTCATTTGTCAGTTTTAAGGTCCACCACTAGATACTAGAGGTCACTAAAATATAGAAAATTTTAACACTACATAATAATAATTTATGTGAGGTAACATTTTGTATACGAAATGGAATTAAACTCACGTTTTATACTCTATGGAATTATTGTTTTACGACCAACGTACACATGGTATTTTAGATTTGAATTCTGTTATGGTCGTAAAAGTAAATCAGATTCATGACTCTGTTTTCACTGAAGCATTACTGTCTATTGATGTCTCTTTTTATTCTAATATAAACACAATTTGACAGAAAGAGAAGAATATTTACTTTCATTAGAAAGAGTTTACTTAGATGTAGGTTCATTCTGAGCTGATAAAAAAATATTATTGGACACACGTGAATGCAATGTTCTCTTAAATATTAAATAAAAAACTGGTATGTCAATTCTAAAATACTACGCGTATAGTCTGTGGATCTCACACTTCAACACTATGTTTATATGTTTGTACTATTATCTACCTACTCTAGTTGAATCTAGTATATGAAATTCGATAACTCTAGCAATCTTTTATATAAATAAAAACAAGAAATAAAGTGAAAAGAGGATGTTTAAAAGTACAAAATCTTGAAATAAGAAACCATAGACATAAAACAGACTGAGAGCTGTCAATGTCAAAAACGTAACTAATAAAAATTTATGGATATATTTAATTACTATTATGTTGTATGTAATATAATAAATATATTGAACATCATTTTTATTCATTCACACAAACTAAGAGGAAATTAAGTTAAAAAACCCCATATAAACCTTACCTCAGTCTGTTCTCTGTCTATGGATAGGACGTAAAAATTATATAAAATCTATTGTTTTAAACTTAACGAATTCAACAAAAGAGAATAAACAGCATTAAATCCATCGGTTTCATAATTTCTTATATAATTTGTATTTACTAAAAGTCTAATCTATGCGAACTATTGTAAATGCATTGGAACGTTTTCGGTTCTATCTAATTAATACTATATGAATTTCCGTTTATAGACCCACGCTTCAGACTTTTGAATTGTTCGTTTTAAAAAAAACATTATTATTTGACTTAATAGTTCTAACATAAATAATAATAGAAATATACTTTCAAGTAGTGGTTTTTAACATTTGCGTAAATGGTCTATGTCGATTAACCGCGGTTAAAACGAACAGTTTAACAGTCAGTCAACACGAATCCAAGGATCATAAGTACGACAATAACCTGTATATTCCTAATTGATACATTTGTAACATTATGAATACTTTATATTGGAATGGACATTGTTAGCGAAGTTCAAAACAAAAGATGAAATGATCGCTTGATTGTGATTGGTCGACGGCGTCTGTAATCCATATGACACTCCTTCCGGAATCAAGCGAAATGTGCCAACATTTAGAACTTCTGCACGTATATACATATATGTTACCGTTTACCAAATATTAATACAATAGATAAGAGGTTGATGTATTATCATATAATAATTTATAAAATAATACTTTATTCACGCCAAAATATTGAATAAGATTCATGATTAGAATTTAAATTCTTTAAGAATCACATTTATTTAATGTTCGTACAATTCAATGTTATATGAAATGTCATTGAATTTAAAAAGTACACATGTCAATTTTGACAGATACGAGTTCCTATTAGATGTTCAGGTCCGCCATTTTGTGATGCTTTAATCAATTTTATCTATTGTTAACCACCTTCCTCTTCCCACGACATACAACATATATACGTTACGAAAGCTTAAACTTAAAGTATGAAAGCACGTTTTATTGCTATCTCAGTTCAAACTTAGTCTCGAGACTAAGCCGTGTTTCGATAGTCCTCAAGACTACCCTGAGATAGGTTTTGGAATACGAGCCGTAATGTGTCAAACACAATTTAAATCGAGTTTTATTAATATATTAGATTTATACTACATTAAATACTAAAGGTACACATTTACTTTAAACAATCGCAATTGATTAATAAAAAATTAAACTTGTACTAATCCCGATAAAATATATAAATTATATGTTATACATATAAATAAAAACCAATTGTTTTTAATAACATATCACAAAACGAAATAAAACGGAAATTCATTTTGTTTGCTCCGGTTCGATGGATTATTTTAAAAAGGCGCATGATTTTCTCCATACGAAAACAAAAATAACATTGGACAAAAAATTTACATTTCTAGAACATTAAAATAATTAAAGACTATTTCCAAACATCATTCTATCATCGTACAAACTCAATCGATTGCTTTCGTTAGACCTACCCTTTTGCAGCGCCCTGTCTCGTCGTGCCCTACGAATAGCAACCGGTAAATCTCCAGGTGTTTTCACCCTGCCAGCCGGATTTTGTAGATGCAAATCACCAGACGAAGAAAATATTTCACTAACCTGCTCTAAAGAGTGTTGCCGCTTAATCGACAACGATTTCAGCGACGGTTTTGGTGATTTTTGACCCTCATCTATTATTTTTAATTCGTTCGTGTCGATTTCGCCGTTAAAAGCTGCCAAGTACACTGGATTGTCGCCGCTGTACCCGTTCATCAGATTCTCTTTATCGTTTGGGTCACTAAATTCATTGTCTAAAGCTGTATATTTATTTTGGAATTTGTTAAATGTGAAATCTGTTTTTGTTAGCGTTGCTTCTTTTAATACGTCATTTTGGTATTTGCTTTTTTTTTCTTCTATAGGTTTTTGTATTGTTTGGATTGTTATTTTGGCGCCATCATTTTCTGATAAAAGCATTAAATGTTCGTCTTCGCTGCTCGAGCAGTCCGAATTTAGGTCGAAAGGGCTGTCGCCGTTAAAAATCTCAGTTTGGTTAGGTAAGTATTGAAGTTCCAAATTGATTGATGCGCGTGACGATCCGGCGCTATTCGAATTGGTTATAATTCGATTGTCGCAACTCAATCGCTTTTTTAAAGTCGAATCTTCGGATTCGGAATGTCCAGCTTTCATACTTTGTGAAGACATGGATGTTCTAATCGATCTTTTGTTCAGACTTTCTGAGCTGCTTTTTGATTTGTTTTGCGTTAAGTCTGTTTTGACTTTAGGTACAATTACGGCGAAAATTTGATTTCTTTCAGTATCATTATGCGATGGAAGTTCTCTAAACGCAGTGTTCATTTCTGATTCCATTAGCATCGTCGGCGAAAGAGTTTTATTAGGAGGTGACAGTGTACACGGTGCTTCAAAATTATATGGCGTATCATGAATTCCTAAATTATTGGGCCGATCAAAACTGAGGTTACCCGACTTTTCGACTACTGTGGTTCTGGTTCGTTGCGTTACATTCTCTGTAAACTTAACCTCTGTCTCTTTAGGTTTCTTCTTTTCAAAAAACTTTTTGAATCCCCATCTTTTGTCTTTATGTTCTTGTAACAAGTTTGTCTCCTTGAGTGTTTTTTCATCGGGTGCATTTACATCATTTTGGACGTAGTCCAAGGGTCTTTGGTAGGACCTGATTTCGTTTAATCTATCTGAATTTTCTTGCGATTGAAATCTATTATGGCTTATTCTAGCTACTGAAAGGCAATTTTCCGTTTGTCTCCTAGGCTCTGTTATATCTTTAAGGCTTTTATGTATGAGTTCAACGGTGTGTGTCTGTGTGTTCGTATTACGCTCAATACACGCGTTCCGACCTATGTGCGGATATAAAAGGGGCGTAGTGACGTCACCATTCATTTGTACACAATTTGAGTTTTTCTCGATCTCATTTGGTAGGTTATTTTCTGCGAAAAATGTGTATCCAATAAGCTATGAATTATTTAATTAAATATAATTTCTTTATTATTACGCTTAAAATTACGGTTTTCTTACCTGGTGTATACGGATGTAGATTGTTTTCGTGCATAATTGGACCTTGCATAAGTAACATCAGTTTCAATTCAGCCATTCGCTCTTCCACGCATACCGCTGTTAATCTGAAATTTAACACTCTTTCAAGTCCCATACCCACACACATCTGGGGCAGACACATTTTCCTTTCCCATATTTATTTGACACCTTATAAGGGAAGCTTAAATATTGGACCTTCCCCCCCTTTAGGTATACAGTCGCTAGTTAAGTATGACTCCATCCAATGTATTGGATTCTACATACGGGATTCGTCGTGACCCCAAGACCACTCACCTAGCTTCAGCATCATGATCCCAGCATTCATCGCATGTATCATTGGCAATTTTGAGAGCTCGCGTCTCAGCGACAGGCCCACGAGGCAATGGCGGCCTTGCCTTGTTACGACACACCAGAGTCTGGGAATTATTGTCCTTGTTTAGCTGTGTACAAAATAAACCCCGAGGTCCCAGGTTCGAACAGACTAAAGCAATGGTGGCTTGATCGTGCAACTCTCAACCTTAAGGCTGTACATCCGAATCACGTACACGATTAACATTTTTTTCCTCTTAATTTTTACCCTCGGAATAGTACATGGTGATGAAAAATCATCTGTCAGACACCGTAGGATCGCCTTGTCATGCAATCAAATGTTGGACTATTGCCAAACCATTATTGGTGTCTTTCCAAATTAGACATAGGGTCCTTCAAGAAAAGAGCGTACCAATTCTGAAAAGGCCGATAACGCACTTGCATGCATACTGGCACTTTGAGTGCACATGGGCGGTATCACTTAACATCAGATGAGCTTCATGCCCGTTTGCCTCTTGTCATATAAGGAAAAAAATCAAATACAATTTTTTTTTTTATTTCTTAATTATCGTAATTGTTTGATTTTTATAAATATTAACCTGCATTTGCGCCAACGTAGGCCTCTGTGGCAATCCATGTTGGTGATAGGGCTGTGCGTAACATTGAACCGTGCTATGGGCCCCACTACAACGCCACAACATCTCCCATATAACAAGGCCCAAGGCAAATACATCCACTGCGCAAAGGGCTGCGCGTGCGCCGCTCAAATCTAAAGCACCCTCTAGCGCTTCTGGTGACAGGTAGCGCAGCGTACCAGCCTGGAATGAAAAGTTATTTTATTTTAAGAAAATTTTCAATAGCACCTTGTAGCTTCTGGGGTTAGGAGCGGAGGTTAAATTTTTACTTTTTTGAAAGCTTTGCTTCACCATATATAATAGAATGAGAGATGAATAAAAAAAAAAGTTTTTCTCACTAAACATACCTCAGTAATCCTGGTAGGAGCTGTATTATCAATTCGCGGCGTCAACGGTTGAGCCAATCCCAGGTCGGCGAGTCTGGCCGTGCCATCATGGGCCACCAACACATTGCCGCTATTCACATCTCTATGGACTATACACGGCTTGCTGCCACCTGAAAATTTTGACCGTTGATCATTCGTTCTCACCGCAAACTATTTTTTTTAAAGAAATTGAGTAAAAATTTATTATTGTCTGACAATTTTAAAAATCCTATGAAAAATTAATACTTGCAACTACTTTTTTATATATATAAAGGGTGTATCGGGAAAAGAAAAAATATGTTTCGATAGTAAAAAGACGACGTTCCAAAATTATAAAAAAATGTTTTTTAGGCAGTAGTAATCGCTAATTGCGTGGAAAGAAAAACCTATTCACAGCCGGGATGAAGGGAAAAATTTGGCTAAATTCTAATTATTATTCATAAAGGCTAAATCTAGTGTCAGTGCACCGTTCTAAAGTTAGTAAAGTATCTATGTGTTGTGATGAAAAGATACCTGTCTCTTTTGGTCACAGTACAAACGCCATATGACAGAAAGAGACGAAAGATTACTTTCGTCCTGTTCGGTACCTGGGTCATCGAAGTGCTTTAAATAATAGAGGAATTAATTTTTTAGGCGTAACTTCGACGATTTAAAACCTCAGTGAGCAAAATGTACAGCCTCGGCTCGTACAAGTGCAAACCAGTTCTAGCTTAGCGAATTTTACGAAAATATTCAATAGCTATTTGAATTTATGAATAAAACTCTAAGCCTAAGATGACTCACAAGGTGTATGTAGATGCGCAAGCGCAGATGCAAGTCCGTGTGCCAATGTTGCAAACTCCAACCACGTGACAGGTGCTTGCTGCAACCTCTCTCGCAAAGACATAGGGCATAGCTCTAGCACGAGTAAATGCGATCGTGGACTGCCCTCTGTGAGGGAGGGTCGGCTGTCACTCCCTGGAAAAAAAATTAATAGATTTTCTATCAGAATTTAAACAAAACAAAAGAAAATAAAGTTAACAAACCACGGGCGTAACAACTTTAAATGACCTTAATGACGTCATCTACTGATTTTGTATGTAGTTTTGTTTTTTTAGTATTTTTTTTATTGGGAAGTCCTATTCCAAACCCATAACCGGGGTAACTTATTAAACCAACGCAGGGAGTGTGGGAGTTAGACCGGATGACCTCCTGTACTTACTAAAACCTAAAAGACCCATCTGCTCACTATGGACAGCAAGGTAACTGTTTCCCCTAATCAGTGGCCCCGTCATGAGCGTCTAGAACAGTGCTTCTCAACCTCTTTTGTCCCAACCTTAGGCTTTCAAAAATTACATAATTTCTTTTAAATATTAATTGTTCATCTAAGAAACTTACATGATGCCCCCTTAACAAATAAATTGCCCCCCTGTGGGGAGTGGACCCCACAGTGGTTGGGAAACACTGGTCTAGAAAAGTTGGGATGGCTATCGCTTGAGGGATTTTTTTTCAATAATTATTCTATCTTTACATTAAAAACCAATTCGATAGAACTACGTTCACGTTCCAAAAAAACGTGTGGCACTCAGGGAATGCCGCGGTAAAGCTATTGCATAGCATTTTTAATCAACTTATGCAATTATAATTATTTATTTATTTTTTATATATATTATGTAGAATTTTTTGATCAAAGAAAAAAAAATCAATATAAATACTTAATTCAATCTACCCCTCAACCACAGACTCAGACTAACACGCCTATATAGTCTGTCTCAATCTAACGCGTACCGTCTGCACCGGCCGCGCTGACGCTACGTCACCGATCTCGTCAGAGAGATGTGAATACGCAGTATGCGTTCTGTCTCGCTCTAACGCGTATTGGCCGCACCTATATTACGTTATCGTGTGTTAGGTTTGTATTTTCGTTACGGAATTTCTTAATTCGGTCGCCGCGCTCAAAGCCCGCGATAAAAGCTATGCAATAGCTTAAAAATATATGATAATAATTTTATCTCCATATGTGATATATGTGATAAAACTTGCTACTCTTGTGGTGTTTACAGAGTACCAGTGCTGTATTTCTATATAAATCTGGTTTCAATTAAAAAGCCTTACCGTAATATCTCAATATATTTGGATGAGCCAAATGGGGTATGGCGTACACCGTGGCCTCCTTATGCCAGGCGGTGGGGCTGGAGTACAATTTTACCGCGACGGGAGCCGAACCGAGGCTTCCCCGCCATACCGACCCGAATTTTCCTTGACCTGTATAAAAATTGCTTATTAATGTTTTGTATTTATTCATATTACAAACAGCTATTGGTCGATTTTCTTTTTCTTTAGATCTGAAAACTCTTTCTCTTCTTCATCACGTCCCGCATTGCACGATTTGGATCGTCGTTTCTTGAAAAACCAGAATGGAACTCCTCGTCCCCTTCAATCCTCCCTAGACAGTTTAACATGGGTTCATTCAAGCGGCGGCGAAATAGGTATCTCCTGGACAGGCGTGCCCTCCAAGAGATGACAGATGTAATGATGTGTGTATAACAAAAACGGAAAACCCTTTCGTTAACTTACCAATATGCTCAATAGGTGTGAGATTATCGACGCACAGTAATCCAGTTGCCAATGCGTCAGGTCCACTGCCCATGACATCACCTGGAAGTAAAATAAAACGTTAAAGCAAAGGTAATGTTGTCAAAAGATTTATTTATAAATGGCAAAAAGGACGGAAGGAGGTTTTAAAAACTAACTCACTAATATTTGCATACATATTCACACACTCACACATTCACTCATACTTAATTTCTTATAAGACTTAGTTGTAACAACAAAATTGCTTTTTTTAAATTGTTTTAAACATGTTCCATGTACCACGGAACTGCGAATTGTCTAGTTACTGTGTGTGGGGACTAGCGATACATGAATTTTGTCACAACCCTTTTGTCATAAATAAAGTTTTTATTATTTATTTATTTATAAGTGACTCGTGGAGTAATATTAACGAGAAAAAGGACGTATGTTAAAACTCTCATCTCACTCTGAATCTCAAACTCTAAGTTCTGGAACTGTCTGTAACTTTCCGTGTATACGGCTTACACTTTACCAAGAAATTATTTGGCCTTATTTGTTTTACAGTTAACATTTTTGCGAATAAAAATGTTATAAACTCAAATATTTTTCAAATACATAGCCTCAGGGATATAGCATTCTAATATGCTGATATTGTACACCTTACCAAAGAGGATGTCAGGAAATATTTGAAGAGGTGGGAAGACTTTGACTTTGTATAGCAGTAACAATTTAGTTTTTTTTATTGAAGTAATAATTGTCGTTTGTTTAATGTTAAATTTCAATTTTCTATTAATGTTATGTTTTCTGTTTCATATTTTGTTTATCAATGTAATCTGTGTTGGCTTTGTATATTGTCAATGTGTTTTCTTTTATAATATGGATGTTAGCAGTAAGATTACTAATAAACAAATAGTGAAACAATTGAAGTCGGCGCAGAAGTTTTCAGTTAATTACAAATCATATATAGAACATATAGAATGTCTACTACTTAGTACTTGCATGGATATGTGCACTGAAAAAACCCCTTTGCTGAACTTGGTTTAATGAAATACATTTATCGTGCGGCTAAAACTAATTCGAGTAATCCATTATTATTAATAAAAACATTACCGATGCCTTGTTTGAATAAAGCGCCATCTGTTAATTACAATTGTTATTTTTGTAAGATATCTGTTAGTTAATATAAAAATAATAGTAGTAGTTAGTAGTACACCAAGCGTCATCTAGTGAGTTATGTAAGTGACATGTATTATGCTCAGTTTTTATTTGGATTGCATGAAGCAATGCTGAACTTGGTTTAATGAAATACATTTATCGTGCGGCTAAAACTAATTCGAGTAATCAATTATTAATAAAAATATTACCGATGCCTTCTTTGAATAAAGCGCCATCTATTAATTTCAATTGTAATTTCTGTAAGATAACGAACAGGAATAAAATAATTTCAAAAACAACTTACACTTCTCCAAATCGGTGCCATCACTTAAATCATCCTTATCAAGTTCGATTCTCTTGTAATACACTTTTCTAAACACTATGGCCATTAACAAAATGGCCACTAACACCAAAATGCCAGCTGCCACAGCGCTAGAGTAGTTCGGATGCGTTGTTTCCATAGTTGATTCAGCTTTAATTGTAACTGTTTCCACACGTAGTGATGCTGAAAACACAATCAGCCTAATGATTCACGTGCATTAAAGTTATAACGATGGCACAATATTTAAGAGAAGAGACTAATTTTAGTTCACATTCTATATTATAATTCCTACTTATGTTTGGCCCAGTAACTCTTGTTATATATATTAGCGTAAGAAAGAAACGAAACTTCTAATTCTGACTCCAATACGATTTTACGAATTAATTAATCAGTGTCGCTACAACCTTTTTAAGTCGGAGCCTCAGATTTCTGTATCTGTTTCTCGATCATTTGTCAATCTTATAGGCAAGTGTGTGATCAGCCTCCTGTGCCTGACACACACCGTCGACTTTTTGGGTCTAAGGCAAGTCGGTTTCCTCGCGATGTTTTCCTTCACCGTTCAGGCGAATGTTAAATAAAAAAAGAAATAAAGTGCACAGCTGGGAATCGAACCTACAACCTCAGGTATGACAGTAACACGCCCAATCCACTAAGGTCTCAAAGCTTAATGAGACATGTTTTACGTATCTCATCCTTAGTAATGAATATTATGGAAAAATAATTCCTAATCTGTTTATAAGTGTTATCGTGCTACTTAAAATAAAACTACACTTTTCACAATGTTTGTCCATAGCCTAGAAGTGATGCGATTTTAAAGCACGCATCAATGGAATAAATTAAAAACCCTTCTGTTTCATGCAATATATCCGAAATATTACGCGATCTTGTGTCACGATAAAAAAATTGAATTAAAAATTTCTTAATAATAAATTTCAATGAGTAAAATATTTTTTTTATTTAAAACACATGACAATTTTGGTAAACATAAATGTTACAAAAAAAAATATATAAAATAAAATAAAAATACTAGCAATTTGTGTTAAGCAGAAAAACAAATTACCAACAAAACAGAGGTATAAGATAGGCAGTTAACAATGCTATAATATCCAGCTCCGTATAAGTACTGCTTAATCCATTACAAACGCGAAGAATTTGTTTTAGCTGACAGAATTAGGAAAATCCTGCTCATTTTAAACCTTGGGAATGAGCAAGGGACCAGTGTTAACGTCCAATAAATTTTATCAATTATTATATATACAGCCTATTACAGTTGTATCTGATTAAATGTTTTCAATTTATAAACTATATAGACGCCAGATCCGTAGTTTAGTTTTGTTAGGTCATTGATATCTATCGCTTGGCATAAAGTTAGCCTTGACTAAGCCTCGGAATTACTTCGAGCATATCTGAATAAAAATTTGAATGATTTTTGACTTATGGGAGAGATAGATGGCGCTTAATTTCGACTCTAAATCATACGTCATGACTCATATCATTTAAGTAATCAAAAAGTTACGTACTGAAGTCTGCGTTGCAGTTACTCTTGGTGCAGCAACAAAACTTTGTACCCGGCAGACGTGCTGTGACTGGCGTGCATTTGTCGCAATTGTTACGCTCACTACTTTGGGACGAACGCCAACATCCTACAAAAAATATCATGAAATTATCTTTTAAATCTAAACTATGACATGTTAAAAAAATGCTGTCCTGTCAATCAACAAAGCTTACAGCTTTAGTCTTAGTTTGATACAATATTCATCAAAGTTTGTGATGTCAGGTTATCATTGTATATCTATGTCACAAATACTGGATTTAACTATCACAATTGACTATTATTGAAGTTGAAAGGTAAAATATTGTAACAAACTTTCTTGAGTGGTATTTGTTTATGCATAGCTAATGTTTCGTAGCGAAATACACACAGAAATCTGGTATTCTTATATAAAAACAATTTAATAGATAAAGCTTTTTATTTGGTCACCTTAGACATGCTATACTCACCTTGACCTAGCACAGTAATATTCCCCTCATTATCTTGCTGCCATAGAGTATAGCAATATGCTTTAGTGTCATTGCAATGCTCAATTTGTGCTATTTCTCCATCTGGTAGTGTTGTCTTTGATAATTTTCCAATATCTATAGTATAAAAATGAAGAATTATTTATTAGATAAGTTATGTATATATTATTAAATTATAATATGAGTTATTATAAAGTTAAAGACCTAATATAAGTTTGCATGATTTATCAGTACTCTTGGCTTAGTGGCAATCCTTGTTTTTCACAGCCTGAGGCCTCCCAACCAGGATTTGAGCTCAGGTCTTGGGTTCAAAACCTCAACTGTGTTTGAAAGAATGCTAAAAGGCTCACCTCATAATTTCAACATAATCTGATTTTTAAATTAAATCACTCAAACCAGGTATTGTAATCAGTTGCGATGGAAAACTTCTATTCAGAAACACCACATACTAATTAAGAGATAGAGATACAAAGCCATAATTGATACAAGGTTTAGTTATTATAATTTTTCACTTAATTAAGGATAGGTAATACAATCTTACCAAAAATTTCATTCTCAACTACCAACTGAGTTTGTTTATCATCATGATAAGAGGGTGTCACACTTAATGCAAGATTGTCTATTTTATATAGACATGTAATTCCAGGCTGAGATGTTGGACTGGTTGTTGTTAATATTTTTGGCTCAGTTTTAATAATTTCATTTGACATTTCATTCTTATCAGAAGCTCCAATGATGTTTTCCCTCACAGAGTCAGAAACCAACTGATTTAATTCAGGCATCTCTTTAGAATTTGGAACACTCCGCTTTTGGACTACCTTTGGATGATCATACCAGTATGAGTCCATATTATTCCATTGTATTGTCCGCCTATGATGATATTTAGTAAAAGTCCGAACATAGTGAGCAGGCTTTTGATGATGAATACTATTTCTATTATCTACCGATTCTTGAGGACGAGACGTGAGAACCTTAGCCGTGAAGATGAATAGAAATAAAATGACACACTTTAAAAGTGGTGATAATCTCTGTGAAAGTAGACCTTCCATGTTCTTGATTAATAAATTTGTAGCAGAAAAGTGTAGAGGCACATTTTAAAAGTTCAATAATTATTTTCGTCACATGAATATGACGTTAATGCGGCTAATGACTTCAGCTGCATTATTGATTTTTCTTTTGCGTTTGAAATGTGATTCGGTTCGTACTCACTAAACACAGTCACTATTTCTATAACACTTACGGGGTTTAACAATCCATATCTATAACAATTGATAGGTTTTTACACTGATTCACATAAATATATTACATTACAAGGAATGGATTTGCATTGATTCAATGTTATGGAAATATTATGTTAATGGAATCTTATATACTACCACTTTAACGTTATATTAGAATAAGTTATTATTATTTTTTTAAATATTCTATATAATTAGATTTCAACACTTATTTAATTCAAATTACGTATAAAACAAGATCAATAGAAAATCAATATAGTGTTGACAAACACATTTTACCACCATTGAAAACAGATTTTTGTGAAATGTGAGCTTTAATGTAATAAGAAACGTCAATTGTCGACAGTTAATTGTCATTTGTATAACATTAATTTAATAAAGATGTTTTGCCTTTCCCATTAGGGATAAATTAATATCATCATCATCAACATTAATTTAATATATTTGTGTGATCGTGATTACCATAATCACAAATAATCTTAATTTTTATACAGAGAGAATAAATAATTTAAAAGAACATGATTTTTTTTTCATTCTATGCGCACAAATAACACTAGTCTTATTAACAAGTGCTGATTTAGGGAGTGAACAGTGTGACCAGATTTTAATTGACGAATCTACTGCTTGTGGAGGTTAAAAACTACTGAATTCTACCGAAAGGAACAAGAAAATCTATTATATTTTTTTGCTGTTGTGTTACAACGTAAAACATGAATGTTTTCTTGATAAAACGATAGAATAATAAAAATAAGAATTTAATTTAAAAGAAACCAAGTTTTTTTTTAAATTCAATTCTTAATAAAAATATAATTAAACAAAAATGTATAAAATGATACTTAAAGTAAAGATTTTTCGCCTTTATGTTGGGTAACATTGTCATAAAGCAATTTTGTGTCCATTAACTTGAACATACATCTGTCAGATCTATTGACTGAAGCGGAGTAGTTTTTATATTTAATTTATCTTCATAAAGCAACTCAAAATGGAACTCATCATGTTTTGTATGTCTGTTTCAATTTTATGAATAAGGGTCTGATCACTTTGAAAAATAACGTAAAATTTTGTAGATATTTTACATAACCAACTTTAAATAAGGGATCTTGCTCCTATTCATTGCGATATCCTTGTGTATATTTATGTTTCAGTTTAAACTCGATTATATAAATTCTCAATAAAGGAATTCCCACATCACACTCTATGCTCACGGCACGAATGGTAACGAAAAGAATAAACAATAAATAGTTATAATCCAATCGATGAAAGAGGAATACCTCGCTTTTATTCGATATGCCAAAAAAAGGACCAGAATAACTGAAAAGCGTGAATTCTACTAAAATATACCAAATAATTTTTACATACTAAATTCTGTTGACTGTACCTCAAAATCTACCAAAAAAGTAGAAATCTACTAAATCTGGTCACACTGGGAGTGAACTTTTTATGAGTAAGTACACAGTATTGTATTGTACAAAGTATTGATTCTGTTTTTTACTTAAATCTTAGATAAAAATAGTTGGTTTCTTATTTCGCTATATCTACTTTAATGTTAAATTATAATAGTCTGTATATACTATAGGTTCAAACTTCAAGGTTATCTATCGACTCTCAATTGACAGAAGTTTTGGTCTCAAGTCTGTGGAGTGGTGTATGACTGTTTCAACTTTCAACTTTGAATTATTTGTATTTGGTATGAAATTGAAGAAGATACAGTGCTTTAAGATTTTTGGTTAAATGATATAATTAGCACCAGATATAGTCTAGTATTATTTGTAATTAACATTTCTACTATATAACTTATTAACGCTTAATTAAAATGTCTTCTATACCAGCAGCCGAAGAAATTGATGAAGCGAAAGAACGCGCCCATTTTCAAGCCGTTGTAAATGCTTTTAAATACTATAAGTAAGTATTATTAATCTTCTTGATTATTATAAAAATCTATAAATGTATAATCAAACGGTAATATATTGTAACTTTTTATTTCACCTGTCTAAAATTGACATAGCAACAAAGCTTTGTTTCGTTGTATGTAATTAACCTATTTTGATATAACAATGAAGACAAAGCCGTATTTACATCAAATACACGTGCGGTACTCTGACCCTAACGTCCTTGTGTGATAGAGCTGCATTTACCACCTATTTCAAGGTTGAAAATGTTTGATTTGATAAATGGATTGTGTACATAAGTTGTTATATGATTAGGGCTATAAATACTTTGTTATTGTTCAATAATTTTGAAATATGTTTTATTATGATATGTTATAATACTCATAAGTATTCACTGGTTTGAAAGAAATTTTTGTTAACAAAAAGTTTTCCATATCAATTATGTCTCAGCTTTTTTCCTTTCAAAAATAGAATTAATTATATATAAAGTGATACTCACTTTATGATTTTTTTATTTCTGATAATATTTGTTGCATTGTAAGAATTTAATATTTAAATAGAAATAGCAATTATCATTCTCATAAATATACTAACATAAATTCTAAATAATTGAATTTATCTTTCTTAGTAACAAGGATGCAGTAGAAGTAAAAATATGATTTGATACTACTCTATTATTATATAAATAAATTTATTTTATATTAAATTCTTCTATACTACCAAAGTAATGAGAAATTTTTACCTAGTAAAGGTGAAAGTTTCACAATCTATATAATTTTTTAAAATTATAAATTTCTCCTATTTAACCAATGGTATCAAATATAATGTACCATTATTTCTCATGTATATGTTGCAGCCAACTTGCTTAATTAGCCATTCCATCAACGGTCAGTCTAGCCTCTTTACTAACACATCTTTACTGTCACATGGTCATACAAATGGCCTAAGCATTAGCCAGCCAGTTTAGTAAATGTTCTAAGAAATGCTACGTCTGAATATCATTCAGTTCGCTAGTTACATGGCGCTGTTTAGTAAAGAGACTATGCTGTTGATTGAGGTGCTGTTTAAGCAACATATATACTGATGATGTATCCTATCAATGTTACTACATTAACTACTATATTCTCATGATTATCTACAAAATTCTTGAAGATCTTTCTCATTTCAATAGTCTATATTGTATACATAGTGATATAGTTTTATTCCTTTCAGATTATGCTGCTTAGACAGAATACACAAATCTGAAAAAATAATATCAATATTGCCAGATTTACATCAAAAGAGATTAGAAAAATACCGATCCTACCTCACTAAGTTTAAAAATTGTCTTGATGTCAATAACAGTGTTGTTCACCTCATAATAAAACATGTTGACACAATGTTTGAGAATGTAGACCATACAATAGATCCAGCTGAGACAAATGGTACAGAAATTGGATGTAATTATAATAATTGTGATATTAGCTCACACAAAAAACATAAAATGCAGCATGACATTGAAAAGGTACTTTTATTTTTGTTCCGGAAATTTCCTCATGTTAAAATGGGCAATATTGTCCTTTACAATTTTGTACTAACTACAATCAAGTTATTGTAGTAACTTAACAACTAAACAAAATTTAATAGTTAAAATTAACAACCATGTTTAGTTTAATGATTACATAACATCTTTATCAGGTTGCTAAGTGCCTGCTCCTTTGATGCCTCCTCTTTTAAATAATTCCTCAGATTTCTAGGTCTCATTATTTACATAATTTATCGTAAATGTCATAAAAATATATACCTACCAAACATGTCAATGTTTTTCAGGTACAAACAGTAATTAAGAATATTGTAAGAGATTGGAGTGAGGCTGGGGCAGCTGAAAGAGAACAGTGTTATAAACCTATATTAGATGAGTTAGAAGCGAGATATCCCAAGCAAGAATTCATGTATGTGATATTTGACCAACAGTTTGTATTAAACTCGGTGCAGGTTTCTCTTACATCTTACAAAAAAAATAAAACCTAAAAAAATTATAAATATACATTAAGTATGGGTTCTATGTTCATATTGCATATTTAGCTGTAATTGTGTATAATGTTGTATGATTTCACAATGTATGTGATTATTTAAAAAAAAAGGGTGCGTGTACTTATGTACGCGCGTAAGAAGTTATACTTCTTTGGCTTTATTAAAAATAGTTTTTGATTGCATGCAAATAATTAATTACAATTAAATAATCAGAGACTGGAAAAGGAGTCATTATAGTCAATAAAATTCAGTTTACATTTGAAAAATTAAATATTTATTATTATTCTCTTAGATTAAGTGTAACATAAATTCTATTATTATTCGAATGTTGTTTTTAAATTATGTCCAATGCCGTAGCAACTTCATTCTGTTAATTTTGTGTCACGGTGCGCGCGCATCGTAAAATTTCACTCTCATCAATTTTTCATAACGCGCGTAAAGAAGTATAACTTCAAAAAAAAAATATAATTTGTATGTATTTTTAAAGTAATATAATCTAGTCTCAATAAGCCTTGGTAGCCTGTTTTGTTGTCGTTTTTTTACTAAGAATGCTTTGCTTTGCGAAACATAGGTTAGCTAAGTATTGCCACTAATTTCAGACTGATTTGATACTAAGTAAATTCAGAACATTTTGCACTGATTTAAGATAATATGTACTATTGTTACAGTGACAGGTCACACATTAAAGTATTAGTGCCAGGAGCAGGTCTTGGAAGGTTAGCTTGGGAAATAGCCGCCAGAGGATTCTCCTGCCAGGGGAATGAGTTCTCATTGTTCATGCTCTTTGCCAGTAATTTTTTATTGAATAAATGCCACGAGGTAATAATATACTTTTTAATATTATGTATTTATAACAAGAGTATAGTTTTAGAAAAAAGCGTTATCATTTTCCGGGTTCTAATACGATTAATAATGATAAGCATACTATTAATATGTATGTATGTAGTAAGCAAAGCTCTCAAAAATAAAAGTACTTAAACGTATTAATTTTTATTGTGTGAATCCTCGAAAATGCATTTCGTTTTCAAGCATAGACAATGTGTGGGTGATATGTGTAAAAAACTAAATAATTAATGTTGACGTAATCATCACATAAGAAAATCAACCCCTCCCCCCCTATAGTGCTTACGTAATACTTGAACAGCCCCACTCCCATGTGTTAAAAATATATGACATGGTATTAGCACTAAGTTTACTTCCTGGAGTGTCAGGCAAAGATGGCTGAACACCTAATTGTCCGTTAAAGTAAAATAAAAAATCATTTAATCATAGGTAACATAATATAAACTTATGACTCGTCAGTAAAGAAATACATATTAATGCTTCTAATTTTAAATTTACTGCCAGTTCTCAAATCAAGGGCGTAGAACGGGAGAGAAGAACTGGCAATAAACTCTCCGCCACTCTTTTTAATCGTTAAATAAAGACCTTGGAAACAAGAGAAATTCTTTACACCATTGTTTAATTGATTTTTATATTTCAGGCAAATGAATACACAGTGTATCCTTGGGTGCATCAATATGTGAACCACATGACCAGCGAACACCAAGTGACACAAGCCACCTTCCCCGATATACCACCTTCGAGTCACCAATCCCACTTCTCTATCACAGCCGGCGATTTCCTAAAGGTAAGAAATAAGCCATTCTTAAATATTTTTTTCTGTTGTGATATTCAAAAAGCGAAATTTTTATAGATATTGATGTTTTAAGCTGTAGTACATCAGTTTGCTGCTAGTTTTCGCAGCAAAGGTTTATTTGTATTTTTCATACATTATCCAATTTATTTCTTAACTTATTTGAAAATATTCTATTGCTTTTGGTCAACAAAGATAATGAAAGATTAAAGGTGAAAGACTTTTTCAAATCAGTCCAGTTGTTTTGGAGCCTAGGGAGTGTTCAAGTATTGCGTAACGAATTTTGGGAGGGGGGGTCCTTTTGTAAAACGTTACGATGCGGGACGCGGAACGATTAAGCGTTATTGTTATTTTCGACTTTTCAGTACTTTGCACCACATAATGGTAACTTTTAGGTATAAAGAGTCACTAGGTGGTCACGAAACGTTTTACTATACTTGGGTACTGAAAAATGTTACGGCGCGTTACATGGGGGGGGGAGGTGTCAATAATCTCCAAAAATTGCGTGACGTAATACTTGAACGCTCCCCCATTCCATTCAAGTCAGCAATTGCAAACCATGATGGAAAAGCTAGCGGCTAAACAACCTAGGCTGGTCAATCGCTCCAGGCTACTTCACGACAACGCTAGACCACACACTGCACAAAAGACGGCTACCAAATTAGAAGAACTTCAATTGGAATGTCTAAGACATCCTCCGTACTCCCCGGACCTTGCTCCAACAGATTACCATTTTTTTCGAAATTTGGACAACTTCTTGCAAGGGAAAAAATTTAACTGATGGGGCAGTCCAAATCGCCTTCACAGATTTTATTGATTCCCGTCCGACTGGTTTTTTTAGTAAAGGGATCAATGAACTACCTATGAGATGGCAAAAGTGCATAGAAAACGATGGTTCATACTTTGATTAATTAAATATATTATATTTAAAAATATTCGACTTTTTGTTCCTCCCATACAAAACGCTAATTTCATATGTAAGGACCTAATATATCAGTGAGTCATTGCTTTGTACCTTATCCAGTGTTATATTAACAGGTATACAAAACAGCTGATGATTGGGATTGTGTGGCAAGTTGCTTCTTCATAGACTGTGCGCCAAATGTAATTGAATTTATTGAAAGGATCTACGAAATATTGAAGCCCGGTGGTATATGGATTAATTTAGGACCGCTTTTGTATCATTATAGGTATGTATGTAGACAATATTGTTTTTTAATTTACATTGTATTTATACTAAAAATATTAAAAAGGTCCGATAATAATCTCTAGGATTGTACATATTATTTACAAGTGCAATACCATCTCGTTGCCCCCTCCAATCGTTCCCAAAGTGATCCGGTTGAATAGGAATCTCTTGGACTGGACCAGAATGGCCTCCAATAAGCCGGCCACATCTCATATAACATCAGATGCCAAACGCCTGTCCAGTTCTGTAAAATCTTTTACTCTTACATATTTTATTATATATTAGGGAAAAAAGACCTGTCTTCAAAATCATTTATTCATATAGGTAATACAATATACACTTATGAATGTCAAAAAATAAATATATATGAAATGCTTCTAATTTTACATTTACTGCCAGTTCTCAAATCAAGGGCGTAGAACGGAAGAGAAGAACTGGCAATAAACTCTCCGCCACTCTTTTTAATCGCCAAGTTTTTTCTTTTACACAACGTTTGTAAGCTGCAACCATTACACCATGTTCCACATGACATCTTAAGTAAATGATAATAATAAAATAAATTGTGTTAAGTTTTTGTGTTTTTTATAGAGGATTTAAAACAGTTTCATGTTTTTCCTCAGCGACATGCCAAATGAGATAAGCATAGAACCGCCATACGATATATTGAAGGACATAATTTCAGATGTCGGCTTTGAAATATTGGTAAGTTTTAATTGAGTATCACATCCAGTTAAATTGATTTAGTAGAGGAAATCTACTACTAAAAAACAAACAGTTTGTTAAGGGGCCGTCAAAAAAAGCTGATTTTAGTGTGACGTATTTTATGAACAGCCCCTAAGATGACCTCATTGCATGTCAGGTTTCTTTCGAATTTCCCATTTGATAGCAAACATCTAAGGTTCATGTTCATCCAACACTCTTTCTCTCTCAATTAATTGGCTCGTAATACGTTTATAAGTGACAAAGTTAATCTACTTAACAGTAAGCAAGATGAAATTGTGTTAGTTGTCACCTTAAAACAAAGAAATAAAAGCGCAATTACAATTCAATGTGATACTAAAAAAAATATTGTCTTATCCGAGCTTCCACGTGCATTAATAAAATCATCTATATATAATAGCGGACCCCAAAGGCGTTGTCCTAGACATACATCTTAAAAAAAAAAAACAACTAAATCTAAACCCTGCTTGTCTTTGCCTTTCCCATTAGGGATAAATTAATATCATCTAGCTTGAATCGACTTGAACACACACAAGTATCAAAATCAGACCAACCGTTTAGCAGTATGTTTACGCACGATTTAAATATATAAAGACACACTGTCAAGAAAGAATCAAAGATTTTTTTCTATTTGTATTCATATAAAAATTTAATATATTTGTTAATTTAATTTTCAGAAAGAGAAAACCGGTGTAAAAACGAAATACGCCCAAAACCCCAACTCGATGCTACAAAACGAGTACAATTCAGTATATTTTGTTTGTAGGAAACCCTCTAGTTAATATTTGTTACAGGACTGTAATCGTTAAATATGAGAACGTAACATTATATATTTGATTCGGTTAATAAAAAATATCAATAGTTTTTCAAATGAAAAATAAAAAGATTCAAAATATTTTCGCCTGTCATCAATTTTGACAGATAAATGACATAAAACCACTTGCGTCGCTTATAGTAATAACAGTATCGTACGTCTTGTGAGTCTTAGTACGTTCACTTTCAATGTGAAAAATGTCGTCGAATGTGGGTAGATGGAACGTATGCGGGTAGTTCAAATAAATTTTACATAAGTAAAAATGGTATTATATGACTGAATTGTTAAAGGTATTGTTTTTATTTTGAATCCCTTGTGATGTTAATATGTATAGCTAGGTACAAATAATGTTCAGTGATTCAAAGTTAATAATAGGTTTCAGTGTAAAATGGCAACTTAGCGCTAAGTATTGCTACTGTATGTATTTTACTTAGCGCTTAGATCTATTGGATTTGTTATACGAGAGTCGTACTAAGCATTAAGTTTTATCCTAAGTGTCGACAATGCATGAGATGCAGATGAGATTCAGAAACGAGAATTACGCTTATGACTTAGCGCTTATTCTCCAAACCCAAACCACAGACTCGTGAATTAGCATTAAGAATGACTTTTGTCAAAAACTTATTGAATTTTGACATGCGGGAGACAGAGTTATAGTTGGCGCTGAATTTCGTTTCTGAATCTCACCTTTGAACCCTTTGACACGATGTTTTAGATTTTTCACCGGAAGAAGGAACGCAAATAGCATTTACTATTTGCGTTCCTAAGCCACTATGTTTATTGCTTAAGCAGATAGAGCCCCATTTTACTCAAATGACCGACAATTAATGTGATTTTTATTTAAATTAAGTCTAACAAAATGTATTATTTGTGTAGTATTTTATGTTAAACCAATAAATCTTTACTCAATTATGACTGCAGTTTTAACTTTTAAGTCCTTTATTTTCAGTTGCTCGTATTTATAACCGGAATTGACATACATTTTTCTTACATTATATTTTATTGCCAATGGAATGTAAATTAATTAAAATTAAAACATTTTATCCGAGTTTTGAGAAAAAAATGTTTTCAATACCGTTATTATAAAGAGATGTATGCCTCTAACCTAACTAAACCTTTTTTTATTTTTTATTGTTGGGAAATCAATTTACTGACCCCCGCGCCGGGGCAACGATTTAAAAGTGACGCAGGGAGTGTGGGAGTCAGTCCGTATGGTGCAATGGACACCTACCCACTAAAACCCAACAGCCCCATCTGTTCGCTATGGACGGTAGGCGCGGTAACAGTTTCCCTTAATCCGTGCCTCCGTCATGAGCGTCTGCTGTGTGAGCACAACTTCTGGGTTGCCCAATTCTGTGCTAAGGTCGCAGTAGAGTACGTGCGTAATCGCGTCGTCTTCTTCCAAACCTTTTTTGCATTGAGGGTCGGCGTCTGGGTTACACTCCCGAATCTTCTCCACATTCTCTTTAAGTGTAACGACGGCCTCACAGAACGCTTTGAAAGTGTTCCACGGGCCGTCACTGTCAGCCTCCATCATAGCTTTCACTATGACGGGAAGCGACAGATCCAATCCGAAGGTGGCGGTTAATAAGCTACGTTCAGAGTTCCACGCTGGACAAAAGTGTATTGCGCTGTGTCGTCTGCGAAACTACACTCGTGACAAATGGGGGTTGCCTCCCTCCTGGCAACCCTGTGAAGGTATCCACCGTAACCATTAATGGCCACAGGCCATTAATGGTTACAAGTCGGTAAGAGAGTGTCCCCATCTTCGATTTACCCACAAGTTGAGCACTGGACGTATAGATGTAATTGTCCAGACTCCTGCCCTGTGATCTTGTAACTCATCATTATGTGTTCAGGAAGGGGTTCGAAACCCCTACTTCTACTATCTGCCCTATGCCAATAGATCCTGGCTAGGGCAGCCGCTTTGAGGTGCCAGGGGGCACTTCCTGCAATAACACACGCTGCCTCGCAAGAGACGGTGCGGTACGCCCTTGCCACCCTTATGGCCATCGCCCGTTGCGACAGTCTCAGAATCGCCCTGTTTTGAGCGAATAGACGGCGATCTGAAAAAAATTCAACAGTTAAAAAAAAAAAATTTAAATTGCAAAGTTGTTTTGAATATCTCTAAATATACTTATTGATTTATTACTTTTAAAATAAGTAAATTAATTATAAATTTTCTGACGATTGCGACACTCTATAATATTCAATAACAAGGTAATATTGACATTTACCGAGAGTTTTTTACGCCGGCTTTTTCTCTCGGCCTACACCCTCTGTCTTCTTTGCCGATGAGTAGGGATGCCCTCAAATTTAATGACGTGGAATAAGTGAGGTATAATAAATACCTATAATTAAATTATAATATGGTATTTATTATTTAAGTTAACATTTACTTAATCATTTCAGTTATATATGCCGTCAACGCCAAATAAGTTTTACTTCAATCGCGCGTAAAGGTTACACGTACACACTTTTTTTATGCATAACTTATATTCTTTTATTACATGCACGTACATGGTGCACGGTAGAACTGTACACCCACGGCCACAGTCGAGGGGATGCGATCTCGAGGCGAGATCGTTAATTCGAGATCTCGTGGGATTAAGATTTACAATCCTGCGAGTTAGTGAGTAGTTAGTTAGTTAGTTTCAAAAACCAATTGTTTAAATCTAACAAAACCCCACGAAAACACTATGAAAACGGCTAAGCTGTTTTTATGAGGTTAATTAAAATAGGTAGGTACCTACATTATCTTTACGAAAAATATTTATTGTAACCGTTGCTATAATTTATAATAAATTACGAAACATATTTATTAAGTACTTATTTTAATACAAGCCTTTACCAATATGAAGATATAATCGTTTGATTACTTATATTTTTATTTACTTTCGGTACAATAAATTTGCTAGGTAAATTGAAAACTTGTTCATCCAAGAGATTAACTTACTGATACCTACTATTGCCACATAATCTCGTCACCTTATGCTTCGGGATAGATTTCGAAAAAAGGCACGAAATCTCGCGAGATCGGGATTGCATTCTCTAGCCACAACACATTTTGTCCCAACCATATTTTGATGAATGAAACTAGGTAGCAGGGACATTTACTGTATCTGACTGTTTTGCATGTAATTAGATATTGAAAAGCTATTCGGCGTCCATGCGTCGGGTTGTTTCTCTCTCTAAAATATGGTGAGGGGGCCGATTTCTGGCCATGCGTCATACTCGAGAACGGGTGCTACTTGTGTACTGTAACGTGTACTTGGTGACTGGTCGGACTTGAATTCTTGTTGCGGTGATGTTAGTTCCGTGTTGTTCCCACGAGAAAGTGCGTGCTCCTATTTCACCACGCCTACTGCTGATAGAGGACAAATCTTTGTTTTTATTATTAATTCACTATTAATTACTTTAGATGTTATGTGGAACGTGGTGTAATGGTTGCAGCTCATTACAATGTGTAAAACAAAAAAAATCTATTTTTTATTCGTGGGTGAAGAAGAGTGGCGGAGAGTGTTTTGCCAGTTCTTCTCGTCCGTTCTACGCCCTTGATTTGAGAACTGGCAGTAAGTGTAAAATTAGAAGCATTTAATATGTATTTCTTTATTTACGTTCATAATTGTACATTGTGTTACCTAAATGAATAAATGATTGGAATTTAAATATTACTTTATGGAACTTAAAGTACCTAATTCAACAAATTTATATTTGTAGTGTAAATTAGGTATGCAAGGGAGTCCCTTTATGGTATTTATAGGTTGAAATATATATATTTAGCTTATTTATAGGTTGAAATATATAAATTTAGCTTATTTATAGGTTGAAATATATAAATTTAGCTTATTTATAGGTTGAAATGTATAAATTTAGCTTATTTATAGGTTGAAATGTATAAATTTAGCTTATTTATAGGTTGAAATGTATAAATTTAGCTTATTTATAGGTTGAAATATATATATTTAGCTTATTTATAGGTTGAAATATATAAATTTAGCTATATTGAAACTATTTTATATTTTTTATAATATCCCTAATTTATTATATATGGAGAGTATAAAACAAACTAATATTAATTCATCAAAGATTTATTTAAATATTGAATGAAAAATCTACCAAGCTTATTAGAATTTTCATTTGAATGATTCATTTTAGCATATGTAAGGAACTGCCGTCTTAATCTGAGCAGACTTTGTGGGTTTATTGTTTGTAGGAAGTTTGCTTCAAGGACACATCCAGGATATTCAGAAAATTTCACTTCAAAAGCATCAAATTCCTTTGCTTCAAGAATCCGTTTTGATATTGCTTGTGTAGTATTGTCAAGTTCGTATAAAAAGTTTGTTGATGATAGTGGTGGCTGAAATTTTTTTAATAACTTTTATATATTATCTACTATAATATGTTAATCATCAACTATAATAAAAAGAGCAGTGTTAGTCTAATAAAGGTACCTTTGATTCTCGAGATCTAGTGGCAAGCTATTGAAACCTAGCATAGCACAAGTCTTTGTTCATCAAAACAAATATTGTAAATCCAAAATATTGTGTTATGATTTACTTAAAACAAGGGAAAGGTTTGCTTTCATTCAATAAAATAAAACTTACATTCTGTGTGCTCATGTTGGGTGGAGGAGGCTTCCGTTTATAAAGTACATTGTATATTGCTTCAAGATCCAATATATCAGATGGTTGAACAGTGAACAGGGGACTGTCCCATCTACTATTAGAGTTTGGCTCTTCAAACCTAAAATAATTTTTTATTGTAATGTAACGCAAATTTTACAAATTGCAAGTCTGTACCTTATGTCGGTAGAGCAGACAACTGTTTTAATTTAGTAATAAGAATTCTATAATTGTGCAATGAAAACAAATCTTTTTCAAGTAAACATCTTAATCTGAAAAATAATTGCAAATCACTTGCCTTAATTTAGTAAGAGCATCAAAAATCTCTTCAGTATAAGGTTCGGTATGTAAATCAGTATTTCCATTTAACTCTTCCTTAGCTTTAATCCTTTTCTGATTATCATCCCATGCGTCCTGGTGAAACCGTATTGTGTATACAGTACATTGTGTAGACTTAGATGCTTTTGATGCACAGTATAGCTCATACCTATAGCCTAAAATGAAAATATAAGGTACAAATAACTGAAACTTGTCTTATGTTCTTTTATTGTATCTATTCAATAGATTAACAGTCCCTACTGTTAATCTCCCATAGAACCTGAAGATATATCAAGTTATTTAACACAAAGTGCTGACTTAAGTAGTTGAAACATTATCCTACTTTTTACCTTTGATATAGTTACTGCCGTCCAATATAACAATGTTATCTTTATTAATAAGTCGTATGACTTCAGACTTAAGATATCCACGCACCCTTTTTTCCTTTTGAGAATCTAAGTATGTTGATTCCTTGTCATAACCCAACTTTATTATAGCTTCATCCTCTGATATAATATCAACTTGTTTGTTATGTGTCTTCTCAAAATATTCTTTTATTTCTCTGGCTCTAGTGGTTTTTCCACTTACAGGAGTGCCGCAAATTATAATCAGAGGCATTTTATTTTAAAGAAGCGAGCTAAACTAATAATAAAATATAATCAATATTGTTAAAATTATAATTCCTCTGCCAAGTGCCAAGAACCAACTATCACTTCCATATTGGCAGCTGTCAAAAGTTAACATCCGTCGGTAACTCGTAACTGTCAGTGACTTATTTTTTACTGGGATGTTCCGAAATTGCAAAATTTTAAATGTATATCATCAAAGGATAAAGTTTTGCTAGAGACAGATGCTCTGCCTCCAATACCTATGGTATTTTTTGTTGGCGACCTCGCTGAAGACTAGGCCTTTTCTTGAATGTGATAATTACAGATTTCAGCAAGGCTTTACAGGGTAAATCACAACACTAACTCACAAGCTGAAACTCTGGTATAGATCGAATGGATCTCCACCTGTTTTACTAACTCCAGGTTCTACTTGTTCGCCGATGGCCTAAAATTCTTGAGGCAGGTCAACGACGCTAGCGACGCAGTCCTGCTTCAAAAATACCTAGATCGACTAGTAAAGTGGTGTCATATATAAAATAAAAAATATATTAATCATACAATATTATTATTTATGAAAAGCCGTATAATCCTTGTTTTAGTTGCTATTTTTTGTCAGAACAGCTCAGCTCGGGCTCTTTTGTCGAGCGAAGCTTCATTGTATATACAATATATTCATAATTACCATTGTATGATTCCTCCCGTTATTTTTATTCACCCAATGAACGAGTCATTAGGGTGATATTAAAAAAATCCGTTGTTGTACCAGCCACACACGGTTCACAGTTCTAGTCTATGTTTAATAGTTTAATAGTGCGCTTTGAGGCACAACAAAAATATTGTTGTTTAAACTGTTGTATTGTAATTAAGTACACCTTATACCAATATTAATTTTTGCAGAAATGAGATAAGGTAAAATTTAATTAAGTAATCATTTACTCTAATAATCTTAAAATTTTCTACTTTTGTACGTGGAGCCGCCGAGCGGGCTTAGTGGAAAATTCAGAACTCAAAGAATTGAATAATTATTCATAAATATACAAAATTACTATGAGTAATATTGTAATAACAATAAATTTATGACAAAAGTTCAGTGGATATTTGTTAGATATAGATACTTGTGTAACAATTAACATTCTTTTATCTAGAACCAATAAAAATGTGTGCATTATATACAGTCACATTTATATTATTATTATAATCATCAATCATAGGTGTGTGTACGTCGTATTCTGAAAAATTTGAAAGACAAAATTGTTAAATATTAGTTCAATTGGATATAACTTGTATAGTACGAAAATAAACTGAACACAATTGAGTCGATACAAAACATTTATTTGTAAGTATTAAGACGGACGGCTATTGTCTTTCCCCGGGGTGAGATTTACTCGGCTTATCCCTTCAGACTATTCTTCTACTAACTGATATACTATAAAACTGTAGCGTTACGTAACAAACAGTAACGTAAGTTAACCAATACTTTAAACTGAGAATACATGAGAACTGAGAATACACCGTGTATTCTGAAAAGAACATAGCCACAACAAAACAAAAACTGTCTAAGGAAACAAACCACACGTAGGTTGGATTGTGTCTGTTTTAGCTTTGACAGGTGCAAATCGACAATAAACACGACGAATATCACAGGTAATCATAGTGTGGGGGCTAGTGCAATTTCTTTATAACTAAACATCCTTTTTATTCTGTTAAAAGTTTTTTTCTTTCATTTATTTTTTCTTCTTGTGTTATTGATTCATTATTGCCGTTATTAGGAATATAATTAACAAAATGACTTGTAGGGGCCCAAGTATAGAAGAAATTAAACTAAGAAATTAAAGCTCAATTGACTGAGGAGATAGAATTGCATAGACACAATGAAAAACGGCTTTTCAAGACGGTTAAAAAGGGCGTTACATTTTGATATCCATAAAATTAGTAATTATATTTCAATGATAGTGATCCTTTCAAATTTCCGTAAAATCTAGAATAAATCCCTATGCTATACCTTATCGCCCACACTGGCTGAAACCCTTACAAGGTATAATTTATTTTTTGAATTCAGTATCATTTCGCTCTCGCTAGTGCAACGTTGTAAGGCGGTAAGTTTTTTTTTAATTTAGTATCTATTTCAAATCTATATTCTTTTGTTTATAGAATTAAACAAGTCATTTAGACTTTCACGTGTACTGAAATAACTTAGATTTTTGAAATAACAGATGTTTTGTCTCATACTCCTAAAAAGATATTTAAAAAAAATCAATCCACCATCGTAAACAAATCTGTTATAACTAAATTAAATTACTTAAAAATATTGGCATTAATATAATTTAAAAATAATATTTTATTCATAGCATCTGACCTCTTTTGGAGGAGTATAAATATTTATATATACTAATACAAAAATAATACATTAAAACACACATGTTATTCGTTTGGAAAAATAATTTGTATTTACTATTTTATTTGTAGGCTTATAGTGTGACAAATAGACAAATTATTATAGAACGTGGTTATATTTTTTTTAAAGGTTTTTATGCACGCGCCAGATAAATTTGTGCGTTAAATGCCGTATAATACCCTTCATGAGACCAGGTTTGGAAAAACAAGGAAGAGAGTTTGCTCTTTACGCTTTTTCATATGAAATTAACAGGATATGCAACTTGCAAGACGTATGTAACGTCATCGATTCAAGTCATTTGCCTAGCTGTTTGATAAAATGGCTGAATATCATTCGTTGAAAGGCGCTGTTTGTGTAAAGAGAATAGGCTGTTAATGGACCGGCTAATTAAGCTAGTTGGCTGCGACATTTAAGTGACATTACATTTTTATTTTTATTCCTTGTCTTCAAGAAAAATAGTACTAGACAACGTCAGGCACATCCAGAATTTCTCTTCAGTGGCTATAGTTTGGATATATCGCTTTGCCTTTCTAATGTACAAATTAAATGTTTATCAGCCGTATTAAGTGTAATGTCAGGTTATGATAACGGTGAACAGGAAAATCACGATCCAAGTGATAACGTTAATTCATTCAGATTTTAAGGGGAAAGCTTTTGAAGTACATCTAATAAAGAAAAGGGTAACACAATTGTTAATAAACTAAGGTGAAAATTTATCTCTATCCCTTTTAAATAATTTCGCTTTTATGACGTATTATATAATTATTGTTAGTGTTCAGTTTGCCCTAGTTTAATTATTTTTTATTTTAAAATCGGTTATTCATGCCAGGAGTGTTTTACATAATATAACCTTCAAATGCGAATCTCATATAAAAATAAAAAATGAGGAATTTTTAAACACTCCAAAATACTGGCCATAACAGAAAAAGTAAAAAAATGTCTTCTAGTCGAGAACTTTTTTCGATATAACATACCTACACTATTGTTAAGGTATCTTGACTAAGCTCCCCGTACATCAGAGAGAGCAAGCAACGCATATGCACGGCTAAAAAATGGACTACCCAGTCAGTTATTAGATAGCCTAACGTTAACCAACATAAAAAGTAAATTGAAAAACTACTATGCATTTGTCGCGCTGCTAAACAAGACTGCTATTGTTACATTTATACAAACCACAGCGGGTTTCTAATGTAACATATTATGATTTTAATATATTCTGTAAAATAAATTTAAAAAAAACATACATTTTTCTATAGTCTCAGTACTAAAAAATCAAAAATCACTTCAAATTCTTAGGTCCTTCTAACTATATGTTACGCTCTTCTAATAGATGTTTATTGGAAATTCCATCCCACACTTCATCCTTCTTAGGCAATTCATTTACGATCTCCGCCATTAAGTTGTGGAATACGCTGCCTGACTCCGTACGATTGGCTACCTCTCCGTCATCTTTTAAAACTCTTCTGTTTAATCATTTCTTAACCTTATCCTATCCTCATCAATCGTGACTTGTACAATTCTTATGATTCCTTTTACATAACTATTCGCTGTTCATGTATTTGTAAGATTAGTTTTTAAGTTTTTAGTTTGTAAATAATATTTTTTTTTGTATTGCTTAAGATTAAGGATTCTGCACTTCTCGCACGCATCATGTGTCTTTTTTTTTAGTTTTCTCTTAACTAGGGTTGCCTGAAAGAGATCGCTTATTAGCGATAAGGCCGCCCGTTGCATCCCTTATAATTTTTATGTATTGTGTTTCTTATATTATTAGCAACGAAGTGTAAATAAATAAAAACGACTTAAATTATTGAACTAAAACTACGAATTAGATATAGTTTTATATGTTTAAGTAGTGTTTTGTGTAATATGATGTGATTATTTTACAGAAAAAAGCAAGCCAATTGGAAGTTATGCTCACAAAATGACAAAAGCAATATTTTTAATTTCACTTACGCTTATCGGGGCCTGCTTCAGTTCTGATAATCTGTTTGAAAGTATCAATAAAGGAATTATAAAATATAATGAGATCGGAGCGGAAATAGGCTGGCAATCTTTAATTAATCCTAGCAACTCCGATTTAGCTAGAAGGGCAGCGGTTTATCAAAAGGATCGTTTGTTATGGCAACACGAAAATTGTGATTATCTGTCAAAATTATATTATAAAAATGAACTAAATGCATCCCAAAACAGACAGACCTATTTGCTATGTCGAGGAACGAAATTTACTTATGAAGAGACGAGGTAAATGATTTTTAAGGTCTTTCATAAAATATATGTTTCTATCGGATCACTTCTCATTTTCTCCCCAAAATCTTTCAAATGTCTGATCCATCGTTTTAGCCTATCGACGTCCACAGTCTATACAGAATGCTGACGATAGATATTTTTGTATTACTATTTGGTATATTAACTGATGAAAAGGGATCATTCTTAAATTAATTTAGCAAATGTATTTTTAGAAAAACAAGTTACTTATATGAAGAGATACAATCCATTTATAATGATGTTCAAGTCTGTTTTCCCGCCCATGGTAACAATAGCTTAACAAATTTTGAAGCCGCCATCTTGAAGAAAACAACTGACGCGGAATTTAATTTTGAACGTTTGATTTCGAAAAAGGAAGGCGTATGTTTGATAGGTGAAAAGGATTTTCAGAATGTAATGAAATATTCGAAAAACGAATCCGTTTTAAAATGGACGTGGTCTATTTGGCGGGAAAATATGAGAGCAATGAAAATGCCATATTTGAACATGTTGGGAATTGAAAATAAAGCGGCGAAACGAAATGGTAATTACTACTTTAACTTATAAATAATTCTATATACAAAGAGGAAAACTATTTTTTATTTTATATAAATAATAGGGCAATTATTCTTTCTTAATTTACTTTTTTTTACTAAGGTTACAAAGACATGGGTGCATCATGGCGAGACGAGGCAGAATTACCGAATTTACGTCACTTATGTTACCAATTATATGAAAGTATTTTACCCTTGTACAAATTATTACACGGTGTTGCTAGGTATCAATTAAGGAAATTATATGGTAACATCGTTCCTGAAAGCGGGCCTATACCGGCGCATTTACTTGGTATGTTAACATGCTTAATAACTAAAACAGCAGCAATATCGGTTCAGTAGTTTTGGAGATAATCGTGCACAGACAGACAGACAGAAAAAAAAACATTATTCTTTCTGTGTTGTACTCTTTCTTATACAGGATCGCGCTCTGTATGCCTTAATTATATGTTTAAAAAATAATAATAATATATTTAATAATGTCTTATTTACCTTTAAGAGCAATGTTGCCCTTAGTGGCTGGCTTAGGCGTGTAACTCTCATACCTGAGGTCGAAGGTTCGCCGTTCGAACCCCGGCTGTGCACCAATGTACTTTTCACTCGTACTTAGATTAAAAAGTAATGTGAGGAAACCGGCATGCCTTCTGTCCAAAAAGTCTGAGACCTGCAATGTAATGTTTATAAATATGTTTTATTGTAATTTGTTTTTACTCATAATATAAGCGCAAGAAAAAAATAAGTAAGTCCGTATATTTTTAGAAATATTTATTAAAAACTTCATTTCTACATACCTTAACATTAATATTTCGTTGAAATGTTTATATCATACTTTGTAGGAAGACGCGATTTATTGAAAAAGATTCTCAATATAGACATTTTGATATTACTCTCGTTTCTAAGGGGAATTCTATTGTCGATGAATATCCGTGCTTTCCTTTCCAAATACACCACAGAGTATTAGATTATTGTATCAACATAAATGTGTCTATTACAATAGCTATTATTTACCATATCATTCTAGAATGATCGGTGTGTTACTAAAATCAGGTACAGAACATAAAAAAATATTTTAGGTGATCTATGGTCGCAAAATTGGGAATCCTTAGCCGAGCTGATCATACCGCGAACAGTTGATTTTGATAAGCGAATTAATAAATTAAATTGGACCGTGGGGCATATGGTATGTAAGAAATATTTATATGGTTTGCCTGTTGTATGCAGAGTATTTTTCATAGTCGTTATATCGAAAAAATTGTGTCCAGGATTGAAGGGATTTGTTCCTTGGATGTGTCCTCACTCTTTACTTTCGGTTTTTTATTTTTCTGTTTTAAAAAAGAAATAAAATTAGAAAACGTCACTTTTGTAAAAAATTCATGCAATTATATAGTTTTTGCAAAATATACTTTTTTATAATATAGTGTAACTTATTTTAAAGATTACAATGCCATTTTAAAAAAAAACGTAAAGTAAAGTATTAGTTACGTGGTTTTTTGTTAAATTACCTTCAATTCTACTTCTGTATTTATATAAGACTTTTTTAGTTAGATATTATTTAATTGTAGTAATACATAAATACAATCTGATTTATAAAATTACAGATAAAACGCGCTGAAGATTTTTACACGTCACTCGGGCTGCCCGCAATGACAAATACGTTTTGGCGGGAATCTGTATTTCGGCGGGAAAACACTTCGATCCGTTGCCATGGCACCGCGGCGGACATGTTTAAAAAGGACGATTACAGGTTTTTATTTTTATATAAAAACCTTTTTCGTCTAATACATGCATTTCTATATATTGCTTCTAAAGATCTACAGTAATTTAGATCTTTATAGTCTATATTACAGTAATTCTTGTAGTATTTATGCTAGTCTGACGCATTTCTCAAACTTCAGCCAGACTTAAACAGAAAATAATTGTTTTTGAAGCCGGCTTAATGCATTAATATAACAAAATGCACATCGCCACGCCAAGCCTAGACGTTTATCAGTTCTTGCTTAGTAGTTTTAAGGAGTAATAGATAGATTTTTTTCTTAGGCTCTTATACTGCGCGGACAATACGTTTGAAGACTTGTATGTGATACACCACGAAATGGGTCATATAGAATATTATATGGCTTATAATACACAGCCAGGGCTGTATCGCGTAAGTTAAAATTGTTCTTTTAGCTATTATATAGTTTCAAATATTTTCCCGTATAAAACGCGACTCTAATTCTAATCTAGTTTTAAGATCTGTTAAATCATTTATTTTTCTATGAAGAGTGACATTTTTGACAGCTCTTAAGACAAGATTGTGATCTAGATATGTTTTAAAGTTCTAGTGTTTAAAGATGAAAGAGTTTGGCAAAATAATGTTGTTTCAATCTTATTTAGAAATTTTAGTATTAGTAAGTTTTACAATTTTCGTTTTGCATATAATACCTATACTACTTTAATGGAATATAAAAACTCTTTTTTAATTCAAATTTTAGCAACCAGAAAGTGTTATCATTTTATTTTGTTTAACAAAAACAGTGGGTAATTTTTTTTCATAAATGTATTTTATATTAAAAAAAGTTTTTTCAGCAAGCAAATACTGCTCTTCACGAAGCTATAGGTGACACTATAATGTTAGGAGTAGCCACCCCACAGCACTTACATAGACTTGGTCTGCTAAAGGATGAGGAATTATACAACACTAGTATCAAAATTAGTAATATCGATCTTATTAAATTCGAAAATAAATCAAGACTTCTTAACGAGAAAGAAAATAAACTTAGAAACAACAACCGAAACATAATAATAAATAAAATATTCGATACAGATAAAATTCAATACGAAATAGTAAATAGAAGAAAAAAAGGAAAAACTATAGCCAAAATCTTTGACAATGTCAACAGTGACATAACCACAGATGATATTCTAATTTTGAAGCACGCCTTAAACAAAATACCACAGATACCATTCGCCCTTGTTCTCGATGAGTACCGATGGAGGCTTTTTGAAGGGAAATTGGATGAAAGATATCTAAATATGGAGTTTTGGGAATTAAGTAGACAGTTGCAAGGAATAGCGTCGATAGAAAAAAGAGGAGAAGAATATTTTGATGTGGGTGCCAAGTATCACGTTGCTGATAATATACCGTATACAAGGTGATTTGTATATAATTTTAATTATTTGTATTTAACAACATTTATTTTATTTAAAGTATACATTCACTGACCTTTGATTTCGAGATTTGAGTTGAGGAAAAACATAGCATCAGGGCTTTTTATTTATTTTTTTATGTTTCTAGTTAGCCTGCCTATTTTCCCCGGCTACTGTATCACCGGGGCATCGTTAAATCGAAATAGCATCGATAGATAAATGATCTTAGATCAATTATTGAACGGAATAGCGAGATATTTGGTATGAAATAAAAAAAATTAATGTTGCTAACACTAAAATCAGTAACTTAACCAAAATAAACGAAGCGCAGGTCAGCTTTAAGTTTCTGTCACCAGCAAGTAGCAGCAAGGTTTTCAGTGAGCCCATACTATCTATTTATACAGTTCAAACATCATATCAGTTAAAACTTATATTTTAAAAATTATCTCATAATTACTACCATTCTGTAATCAACCTTTTTATTATTATATTAAAGGTAGTTGAATTTTTGATTATTTCAGGTATTTTCTAAGCAGTTTTCTACAGTATCAACTATTTGAGAGACTATGCAAAGCAGCTATCTTCGGGCGTCAGCCTAAATCTCTGCCAGATTCCATTCCTCTTCATCGTTGTGACATTTATGGATCAAAGGCTGCAGGAAAAATTTTAAGGTACATGTTCGATTGTAGGTAGGTAATACAATCATGTATAAATCATAAAAAGACACTATTTAAGTAGACGCGATCTTTCAATGAAAAATTTATAGGTAGCCCTAAATTTATAAGTAGTAAGTTTAATTTTAATCTTAAATGTTTTTAAAGTTATACTTCTTTTTATTTTATTTATGAGAGTGAAATTTTACGATGCGCGCACACCGTGACACAAAATTAACGGAATGAAGTTGCCCACGGAAGATGCTACGGCATTGGACATAATTTCAAAACAAAATTTGAATAATAATAGAATTTATGTTACACTTAATGTAAGATAATAATAACAAATATTTATTTATTAAATTTTTAAATGTAAACTGAACTTTATTGACTATAATGACTCCTTTTCCAGTCTTTGATTATTTAATTGTAATTAATTATTTGCATGCAATCAAAAAATATTTTTAATAATGCCTAAGAAGTATAACTCCTTACGCGCGTACGTAAGTACGCATAATAAGTACCCTGTTTTTTAGGAATATAATGTCTCGTGGAAGTTCTCAACACTGGCAAGAAATACTTAATGACGCTGCAGACATAGATAATATTAACTCGGAAGCTTTGAAACGCTACTACCGCCCTCTATATAATTTATTAAAACGCTTGGTTGCAAAATATAACATACCAATTGGCTGGTAAAACGGATAAATTTGTATTGTATTGTATTAAATTAATTAAATATACTGATAAAAATTGTTCCACTTCCCTATAAAAATCCATTAAAATCCCATTGTTTATTAATTGAATATTCCATAATTTAGCTATTAATAAAAATACTATAAAAAATTATAAGTACTGCTGTAGTTGGTATTTCCTTGTTACTTTTGCTATTAACAGATAGATGGCGCTGCATGTTTCTAAAACGCGCTATCAATGTGTTTATGACATTAGTATATAATATCCCCATGTTGTGGAGCCCGTGAACCGATTTTGATGAATTTTGGACTTTTTTGAAAGCTGAGCCTCGCGATGTCGCGTTGAATCCAGCTATAAGCTATAATATTAAAATTAAATTATGCCCTAGGCCTTAGCTCTTGAGTCTTAGTTTATAATTTATATTATTTATATAATATAACACTCGTCGTCACTCGACTTACGACTATGTAATATGTATTGATAATTGAAGTGTAGTTCCCACGAGAATATAACTTATACCGCACCGGACGGCCGCAAGCAGGGTGGAGCCTGTTTGATAGCCACTCCGCGTTTAGAGATGAGGCGAGTGATATTGCCTACCGATGTATATATCGAGTGTCGGGCATTTGAACTTGTTTGTGCGACTGTTTTTTTAAAAAGTAGGTTTTTATTTTTTGTGTGTGTCCTATATATTCCTCCTAATAGTAATGATCATGAATATTTGTTATTATTTAAAATAATAGAAGATTATTGCCACAAATATAGTAGTGTATTAGTGTTAGGGGATTTCAATTTATACTCTTGTTCTAATTTGGTTAGAAATTATTTTGAGGATTATTTTTTACATTATTGTGAATTCAGTCAGTGCAATTCAGTAGAAAATATTAATGAAAGAATTTTGGATCTGGTTTTATGCAAGGTTGGGGGGGTTAGCAGCGTAAATGTGTGTATATCTGATCAGCCTCTGGTGTCAGTGGATAAACAACATCCACCGCTTCAAGTGTGTGTATGGCCCCGATCGGCGGCGTCCCTGGTGAAATATACGAAGGCGGTAGATAAGGTAGGTAGACCACTGAAATGGAAATTTCAAAAAGCCAATTACGATATGTTGTATTCGAGGATAGGAGCAGCAGACTGGTCTAGTATATTTTCTTCGGACTTAGATGCGAGTCTAGATAGCTTTTATAATATTTTAAATACTATCTTTGACGATTGTGTGCCAAAAGAAACCCTAAAAGGATATGTTCACTCAAAACACGCGTATCCGGAATGGTATAATGATGAAATTATTCGTAAAATAAAATGGAAAGCTAAGCTACATAAGCGTTATAAGAGAACTAAGTTGCAAGGTGACTACCAAGCGTTTAGCTTGTGTAGGGCTGAGGTAAAGGTAGGGATTGCTAAGGCATTTGATAGGTATCGGAAAGTTATTGAAACGAACGTCATAGAAAATCCTAGGTCATTTTGGAAATTTGTAAAGAGCCAAAGGGCTGAAAGACAGCCTAGGGGTATTGTTAGTAACGGAAAAGAGTTAACTATGGATAAGAGGGTAGAGGAATTCGCTAATTATTTCAGTTCAGTGTATGTTACGCAAAAGCCCAAGCTTGACGTTAAGAAAGCTATTGCGGAGGCGGATTGTGGAAGTGGGGGAACATTGGTTCACGTAGATAAGTTGCAATTAGAGGAGGTACGGAATGCCTTACAACGTTTAAAACCAAAAAAGTCCGCGGGGCCTGATGGTATACCTCCGTATATCTTTAGAGACTGTCGGGCAGTATTGGCGGAACCCCTTCTCCATATATTCAATCTTAGCCTTAAAGCGTCAACATTCCCAGATCGTTGGAAAATTAGCAAAGTGGTTCCGGTACCTAAAGGTAGACAAAGTGACAAAGTAGACCATCATAGACCGGTGGCGATTTTGTCAACACCAGCGAAGGTAATGGAGTCAGCGCTTCAAAAGTGCATTCTTGATCAGGTAGGATCTCAACTCTCTGACTCACAACATGGATTTCGAGCAGCAAGAAGTACCACGAGCAACTTATTAAGCTTCTTGACTTGCATAGTACCAGTTGTGGATAGTGGAGGACAAGTTGATGCAGCCTACTTTGATATACGAAAAGCATTTGACACGGTCGATAACGACGTGCTCTTGATGAAATTAGCAAAAGTTGGCTTCACTGCGTCATTGATTCGGTTTATGGCAAGTCACATGACAGATAGGGAGCAGTATGTGGAATATGATGGCATTAAATCTAGGAACTATTACACTTGGTCTGGCGTGACGCAGGGGAGCAATTTAGGACCTTTAGAATTTTTGTTAATGGTAAATGATCTACCAGGGGTAGTAGAAGAGGCAAAATGTTTAATGTTCGCGGATGATCTTAAATTATCACGGTCGATTAATAGTGAGGAAGATTGTCTACGATTGCAGCAGGATATTGATCGGGTAGTAAATTGGTGCAGAAAAAATCGACTGCAGCTTAATTCTGCAAAATGTGCTGTTATTTCTTTTTCCAGAGCACGGACACCGATTCTTTATAATTATAACATTGAGAAACAGCCAATTCCAAGAGTAGCCGAAATAAAAGACCTAGGGGTTCATTTAAACGTGGAATTAAATTTTCGGGATAACATAAAAATAATTTGTAAAAAAGCTTATAGGAATTTAGGGTTTATTTTGCGTATGGCCAAAGGATTTTCAAATATAAAAGCAGTAATGGCATTGTATAATGCACTTGTTAGGAGCCACTTGGAATATAATTCTATGATTTGGGCCCCACAAGAAAAAAAATATTCTCTAATGGTGGAGCGCATCCAAAATAAATTTATGAGATACATATACATGAGGTTGTATGGAGTGTACCCATTTTACCCAATAATGTATCCAACTTTGTTTGTCTTGGGCATGGTTGGATACAACAAGTTAGAGGTAAGGAGGGACCTTACTATCACGCTATATTTTTTTAAGATCCTTAGAGGTAAAATATATTATGCGGAAATATTGGAAAGACTGGGGCTGCGTGTGCCAAATAACCACACTCGGCGGAGTAAGCGGTCGCAATTGCTGGCAGTGCCTCGGGCGCGGACGAACTTACTTAGAGAAGCACCATTTACGCGTGTTTTGCGCACCCTAAACACTATTGCTTGTGAGACGGATATATTTAGTTGCACACTGGCTGAATTCACAAGAATTTCATTATTTATAATTAGTTATAAAATTGTTTAGGTTTTTTTAAGTTTTTACTTGTTATGGTTATATTATGTTTTAAGTTAGTTTTCTATTGCATTAGTATTAAGTTACTGTAAAAATAGGAAATAAGGAATAAATAAATAAATAAATAATAAATAAATAAATTATCTGCATAAAAAAAAAATCGGTTTTTTATTATTCGATTATTTTTTTAGCATGAAAAATCGATTAATAAATAATCGATTTTTTCCTAATTTTTGAATTAATTTCAAAATAAACACCCTAAATATTTTATTTTTCATGGTTTTTTTTAATTAAAAATAAACAATAGAATTTATGAACACAAATTAACGTTTAAGAATAATCAAAATCGAAATTAACTCTCTCGTAACTTTTCTCAAAATCTTTTGCAGGGGTTGAGCTTAGAGACCTCCCGTAGAACAATTTTTTGCAGCTGATGACCTCATCTATCCCCTATTTGGGTTTGATCCACGACTTTTTGACCACCCTGTATATGTGTATATGTGTATATGTATACGTTTATTTAACTTATATTAAATAATAAGAACGAAATAAAACCAACAAATAAATTACAATAAATATACTTTATTATCCTAGTTAAATAGTTAATGATAATCTTAAGTCTAACTACAAAAGTTAAAAATAGCACTAAGTCCGAATGTAAATAATTTATTAAAGCACACTAATCGTATGAAATCTTGTATTCTACTTAATAATAAAATTATCGATCTTTGTATTTCCTTATACGGGTGTGACATTAACAGATAATGCTAAATATAGCCGCTATAAAATGGAGACTTCATCATTTTTAGTTGAGATTCACTCAGCAGGGCTAATCTCTGACATTATAAACGAGATCACAAAAATCTTACAGCGCTTCTGGCGGTAACTCTATTAGTTATTCTTATGACATCAGTTTGCCAATCAAAACATTCGTGATTTGACAGTTGACATGACATGGCAACAAAATGAGTTGTCAACTGTTCCATAAAATAATTTTGGGAAGAGTCGCTTGTATTAGTCTTGCTAAACATTTTTGTCTCACGACATTGTAGATATTTCTAGAAAAAATAAGAAGAGGCCGAATGTTCTACAGACAGGTGAACAATAATAAATTAATAAGTGAAAGCTTATTAGAAGAGATTCGAAAGAAACTCTATTCTATATAGCGATTATTATTTAGCGATATCTGTGAATTATGAAACATGACTGCAAAATATTTACACTGTAAACTATATACAACTTATTGTAATATTCTATCACATTAAAATTAATTTAAGAGTATTTTTGTGTAAGTCAAAGAAAACAAAAAGTGTATTGGCTTTCATCTTTTCAAAGTTATGGTAACATAGATTAAGCCAAAATAGTAGTTAAAAATTTTACGTTATTCCATAGTTGTAATTTTATTACTTATTAGTTATTTATTGCAATATGTAAATTGGATCAAAAACTTATTTATCCTTTTCTATATACAACTACTAGTTGCTTCTGAACTTTGAAGTCCTGCATTTAAACCCATATCCTTTTTATCTATAAGCAATTAACTGAATGAAGGAGTGAAGAATTGGTATATATTAGACACAATATTCGATATTTACGCACAGAAGGTATCTATTTAAGTAAAAAAAAGTATAGGACATAGAAATCGCATACGTTCACCGTTTATGGCTTTCGTTCTCTTTCTGTGGTACAGCTGGGTCTCTGGGTTTAAACTCCGAAAAACAATATGTATGTGATCTTCTTCTTGGGATTGCTTTAATACTTAGTAAGCCCGCTGATTCTATTTAAATCCGTAGACTACGCCAGCGTAGTGGCGTGTGATATCCAATCTACAGTGTGCGCTACTCTGTGGTAAATTCCAGGTTGACCGCGACTCGCGCAAGAATATCCGGCGGAAACCACGCCAATTAAATACCATCTTCCCGCGCGTTCTAACATCAATGGCCCGCCGCTGTCACCTTGACAGCTGTCTTTTCCCCCTCCACGGTATCCCGCGCAAAGCATTTCTGGGTATATTACTACGTTTATACCTGAAACAAAAAAGACAATTTACACACATCATATGCAATACTTAATATATCAATACATCAATAAGAAATTGGTCGTGTCCTCATGTTATAGGCACGACACCGCTTTTATATTTTTGTATGTATGTCAATTTATATTATGTGTTTGTCCTAATTTTGTGGTTCAAATAAAAAAAAAAGAAATTATATTCAAATTTAAATTTTATATTCTATGATTTTTTTAACAACTCTCTTAAGCGAATATCAGCTAAAATTATGATAAAAAATCTTTAATTATAAAGAAATAAAAATAGATTAGGATATATACAAGAAATATACTGTACGACCTAATTTAATATCTACCAACATACCTACATAAAAATTTAATAGATATCAGTCGAGTCGTTTCGGAGGAGTGCAACCCTCCATTGCATGTGTATAAAAAAATTGATATTTTATTACACGATAAATTATAATTAATTTTGTGTATCTGATAATGAATGAATGAATGATCGTAAGAAATAACTCCCATAAAATACTCACCATTAGCTCTGTGCCAGCGTTCACAAACTCTATTATCTAGTACAGGAACGTCAACAGCCTGCAAGGTCCGGGGGCGAAGCCTCGAGCCGGGACTAAGGGCTCCCCAGCCGGCCGCCCAGCCGTACTGACCCAGAAAGTCAGAGCCTCTTTCAGGTAGGCATATTGGGGCTGAAATCAGACATATTTTACTAAAAAGGGATTATTTTCAGTTTAAAGATTTCTGTATGATACGTCGGGAAGTAAAAAAGTTAAATAAAACGTAGTCTTGTCTAGTACTGTGAGATTTTATGGTTTATAAGTTTAAAAAAAGAAATAAAATAAAATAAATGGACACCTACAATGCGTCAGCTTGTTTATGGCAAGAATTTCGATATGCTACATACATTATTCTGACAGTGACAATTGCTATCTCTTTTAAATTAAGAGTAACTCACCAATATGAGGCATGTAATGAACATTTCTGTCCAATGTGAGTACTGCGACATCAAATCGGTCCGCTTGAGGAGTAAACTTGAACAGTGGGTGCACCTGGAAGTTAAATCCTTGATGACTAGACTATAAATTTATCACATATACATTAATTTGTATGTTATTGTAAACTATAGTTAACATGGTGAGCAGTGAAAGCGTCTAACGGCGAATGTGATTTTCGAATATCAAATTCCATCACTTATTTTCGTATTTTTATTTTACCCAAGTTTAAAAATTTACGATTATGGGTGAAGATTTTATAACCATATTTCTGAGAGAGAGCAGTGTTAGTCTTCAGCGTGCGACATCCCTGAGGTCGTAGATTCGATCCCCAGCTGCACCAATGGACTTTTCTATGTGCGCATTTAACATTCGCTCGACCGGTGAAGGAAAACATCGTGAGGAAACCGACTTGCCTTAGAAAAAAGTGACGGCGTGTGTCAGACACAGGAGGCTGATCACCTACTTGGCTATTAGATTGACGAATGATCAAGAAACAGATAAAGAAACCTAAAACGGTTGATTCGCCACAGATTTTTTTATAACCCTTTTATTTAATTTAATCTTTTTGATACCGAAAAATAGCAATAATATTATGATAGCAGTTAAGTATTAGTCGCTATTTCATATATCTCGTTTAAGTAATGGTTTAATCCACAATTAATCTTAACTATTTCTTATTATACAAGTTTTAATCATGCTTAAATCTTACGTATTCTCTTTCTTAGATTGTTACCTTAATAGTCCTGACTCCAAAGGTATAAGCGGGCAAGGGCTCTGCCGCTGAGTTGATAACGTAATCTCCTAATGTCACTCGCACGTGACGCGGTTGCGCCCGCGCAACACAGTGACCCGCCGTTACCACGTGACGACGTGATATTAGGGAACCGCCACATCTGAAATCATATGACTTTTATGTAGGCTTTGTAATGTTCTGCGCTATTTTTCGTTATACACTGAGTGAGTAATCTATTTTAATATTAAGTGCATTTATAATGTGATAGAGCAAAGATATAAGTTTTTCATTAGGTAGGGTTGCAAACGGGAGAACCAAAAAAGGCAAAATTCAAATTACAGTCAAAACCGTTTATAACGACATCGTTTACAACGACCTATCGGTTATTACAACCAGATTGCATGGTCCCGTCCGAATCCCTAGTAAACTATTCAGTAAAGAAACCGCTTATAACAACATCGGATACAGCGACATATCGCTTACAACGACGAAAGTTTATCGATATTCATCGGATATAACGACCAACCGCTTCTTGTCTCAGTAAAACAAAACAATACAAACGATTTTAAATTTTATTTATAAGCATTGAATGAATATTTAGGCATATTATTACCTACGCACTTTCTCCCAACGAACAGTTTCAGCCAACAACGATTTCCGAGGCTCTTAACGCTGTAACGATTTTGCAAAAATTTGTTGCCTTTAACGAACAGTTTGATACTGGAAATACTCATACCTTGAGGAGTATGAAACGTTAAATGCTAAAAATATTTGAGGCTGGGCTAAAAAAAAACAGACTGACTGATTACTTTTGTACCTAATTATTTCGTAATAAATATTTTTGTTTCTTTTTTGACTCGTTTACATATTATAATATTAACATACCATATTATAACCCATACCTACCTATTCTAGATCGATAACTATGTACATACATATGTACTGTACTTGTGTATATGACATTGCTTATAACGACTATCGGATATAACGTCGGCAACTATACGGTCCCTTCAATGTCGTTATAACCGGTTTTGACTGTACTAACTATACGCCAGGTTTATATTCTCTGTTGTGTCCTTAGTAGGCACGCAAACTCTCCTCTTCGTCCCAACACACCCCAAAATAGGACTCAATCTAATATAATTTGCTACGTAATTTTTATCGCAAGATTTATCCTTCCACTAATACTTTTATCGCTCAGCCTATCTCTACAATAGCTTATAGTACGGGAGGTAGCAACGTTTGAAAAGAAAGAATTTTAGGTCAGCTGATTTTGTGATATGTCTTCCTTCTTGCACTTTCGGTTAGAGTCTGGGCAATCTGGCTGGCGGTAGCGGTTGCGTTTATTAGTGCGCATCCTATCTGTCCGGTAATAATCCTGGATTTTAAAAGCATTTTAAGAAGCGTAATTTTTAATTTTTCGTTTTTAAATAAGTCTACCTGACATACTTTTTTTATTGCCAGACATTTTTCACATTGCTAACTATGTGCCAGACGCGATTTTAAGTTTTTTTTTTTATAAAAATTTCAAAGTATTTTAGAATGTCTGTAATTTTAATATTATGTTCTTTAAATATAAGAAAAACTAAAAATGAATTTGCCAGACATTAATTCGATTGTTAAGTCTTGAATTAAAATGAAAAAGTATTGCAGTACGATGAAGCATTGCATTTTAAGAAGCGCAATTTTTAATTTTTCCTTTTTAAATAAGTCTACCTGACATACTTTTTTTATTGCCAGACATTTTTCACATTGCTAACTATGTGCCAGACGCGATTTTAAGTTTTTTTTTTATAAAAATTTCAAAGTATTTTAGAATGTCTGTAATTTTAATATTATGTTCTTTAAATATAAGAAAAACTAAAAATGAATTTGCCAGACATTAATTCGATTGTTAAGTTTTGAATTAAAATGAAAAAGTATTGCAGTATGATGAAGCATTGCATTTGAGGAAGCGTTATTTTTAATTTTTTTTTGTTCAGAATCAGAACAGCGTAAAACAACTTCTGCGTCAAAATCGATTTGGCAAATATGAAAAATAATCCTAGAATCAGCTTCTTCGTGTTCTTTACACAATAATGATTCTTCAATAGTTTTTATTTAGCAATGTGAAAAATGTCTGGCAATAAAAATGTATGTCAGGTAGACTTATTTAAAAACGAAAAATTAAAAATTACGCTTCTTAAAATGCTTTTAAAATCCAGGATATTACCTGGACAGATAGGATGCGCACTAAAGAACGCAACCGCTACCGCCAGCCAGATTGCCAAGACTCTAACCGAAAGTGCAAGAAGGAAGACATATCACAAAATCAGCTGACCTAAAATTCTTTCTCGAAAACGTTGCTACCTCCCGTACTATTAAATAGAAGACTTAGCTTGCATAATCTTACCTACCACAAATGTAAAACGATTTTAAAACATTGGCTCGGAATTTTTTCCTTCATCCATCCACCTTTTTCATGCACACATTCTTAGGTTTGTTCGTCATTTACACACACAATCACACAGTCATCAGATATATTTATTATTTTTCCCTACCATTGATTACCAATTGTGTTATTTATTTTGTTACATGTTAATTAAAGAAGAGCCAAGCGAAGCTGTTACAGGTCTTCGACTTACTAGGGAGGCCTCAATCTGAACTCTATATTTGAATTTTTTGAATACAATTTTTGGGTGCGTTACCGACCTTTACCTTGCCTTTAACTAATGAAAACATCTTTGACATGCAATCTTTAGGCGCGTTATGAAAAATTGATGAGAGTGAAATTCTACGATGCGCGCGCACCGTGACACAAAATTAACAGAATGAAGTTGCCAACGGAAGATGCTACGGCATTGGACATAATTTAAAAACAACATTCGAATAATAATAGAATTTATGTTACACTTAATGTAAGAGAATAATAAATATTTATTTATTTAATTTTTCAAATGTAAACTGAACTTTATTGACTATAACGACTCCTTTTCCCGTCTTTGATTATTTAATTGTAATTAATGATTTGCATGCAATCAAAAACTATTTTTAATATTGCCAAAGAAGTATAACTTCTTACGCGCGTACATAAGTACACGCACCCTTTTTTTTAAATATAGCAGTCTGTATTTTAATCAAACATTACAGTAGATTCAAATGTGTAAACTAGGATATAGTGAAATATGTTTCATACACCCAGAAGCTGTAGAAATACATTCAAACTTAGATAACAACACCCACGGCAAAGCTTTTGTGGTTCCTGTCATAACATAATCGCTAGAAAAATATTGAGAAATGCGCTAAGTGTTAAGTTTAGTGTGAAGTGTGTAAACGACACATAAACTTAATAGTAAGAAGAACTATTGGTCACTATTTGTAATATAAAATAAAAAATCGGTGGCGCTACAACATTTTTACGTCTGGGCCTCAGATTTCTGTATCTGTTTCATGATCATTTGTCAATCTAATAGGCAAGTAGGTGATCAGCCTTCTGTGCCACGCCGTCGACTTTTTGGGTCTAAGGCAAGCATGTTTCCTCACGATGGTTTCCTTCATCGTTCGAGAGAATGTTAAATGCGCACATAGAATGAAAGTCCACTGTTGTACAGCCGGGGATCGAACCTACGACCTCAGGGATGAGAGTCGCAAGCTTAAGCCAATAGGCCAACATATAATAATAAAACATATATAGTACCAATTTTTTAAGTTACTATTTTCTTTGGTGCCCAACGATTGATTGGTTAAAAAAATTACTAAAACATTACGCTATGATATTATGAAGGTCCTAACTGAGTTCACAGTTGTTAAACTGTTAACTAACTTAAATGAGAATATATCTTTTTATTATATTTGATTGACACACTATAGGAAGCAAAAAGCCTTGACTGGACGTAAAAGTAAAATTATTATTACACACGCACAATTGTAACGCAAGATAGCACATTGATTAATTGCAAATTTTGTTCTGTTTCGGTAAATCTATAATCTTTGATTTATTATCTGTATAATAGTTTATAAAATAATAGCCATTTTTGCATTTGGCAATACTGTCATTAAAACCTAGATAAATTGTTGTTTTATAAAATGCTTTCTATATTTGAAGAGTCGTTAAAAGAATTACAAAGAACTGTATAAATACAAACAAGCAATAGGCAAATGTATATTTTTGTTCTTGTCATATTATTAATGAGCAGTGTTGGTCTATTGGCTTCAGCATGCGACTCTAATCCCTGAGGTCGTAGGTTCGATGTGTGGCTGTGCACCAATGCATTCTATGTACGAATTTAACATACGTTCGACTAAAGTACACATCGTACGGAAACCGGCTAGCCTGAGACCCAAAAATTCGACGGGGTGTGTCAGGCACAGGAGGCTGATAACCTACTTGCCTATTACTTAGATTGACAAATGATCATTAAATAGATACAGAAATCTGCGCCACTGATTTATTTATAATAGACATATGTTTAGAGGCTTTAAAATATTACAATAGTTCTGTAATCTCAATTTGATTTGAGAAAGTTCGCGCATGTAGTAAGCAAAATACTTGAAAAACAACTTCTGCGCATCTAGCGACTCATACCAACATAGTAACAACTGTTACATTAAAAAAATATATATTAATAAATAATAAAATGGATATACTAGAATCCTACTCCAGGGATTTAGAGATTTTACCATCCAATTTATTACTTATTTATTAAGTCATGCAAATATACAGATACACAGAGCCTTACAAATAAATTTAAACACCATTCCAATGTAAAATACGAAATGTTCGTATTTAATAAATGTCAGTACAACGAATTATAATATTTTTTTCAAGTTGTTGGCACGAACCTAGCATTTTATTCATTTAATCGACCCTGGGTTCGATTGTTAGTGAAACAATAATTCTTTAACATCCAAACAATTATCTATTTAAAAGTGTAATGTTGTCATGAAATAAGTTTATTTGTAAAGCTCAAGTTACTTATAAATATAATAAATACAGATATACACTTATCTTACATAAAGAGGAAAAATGTGCGAAAGTTTTCATTAAGCGAACATGCAATAGATAAGATGATACATACAATATTTAATAATAAAAACATATATTTAACATTTAAACATGACATGATCTGTGATCACCAAACCCAACTATCTTAGTACGAGATACACATTACCAATGTAGTTGTTTTACTGCGGAAATAGGTTTATACTTTATTTAGAAGAATACTATGAAAACAGTATCATGTGCCTTTAAAAACAATCTATATAAGTATTTACAATACTTTAAGGTAACAAATGAAGTCTTTATAAAGGAAGAAATTTTTGTACAAATGGTATATCTCTTTCGCACATTTACCTCTCTATCCAACATTGTTTCCAACCAATTAGCTCGAAAATGGACATAAGCATGTTGCACCTGAAATTAATGGTTTAGTGTGTTAGTCGGCAACTGTGTTGCCATTGTTAGAAATTAATAAAAGCAACTTTGGGGTTACCATTATGTACATATCCCTTAGCAAAACAAAACGAAAGATGATAATGTCCGTTTCTGACTGGTCGAACTCAGAATTGTGGTTTAAAGAAATTTATTCTCACAACAAAACTGTCACTTACATGAGAAAGAACAAATAATATTCAAAGTAAAATTTATCACACCACTATAATTTACTACACGAATACTATTAGTCCTTACGTTTACTTCGAAATACGCTCAAACGCAATTTGTCATACATAAATTTACTATACATATTACATTAACTACTCAATTTAACGTATCGTTTGTGCTAAGGGTTTATTTAATTCTGGGTATCATATTTTATTAGATAAAACAAAAGAATTCTTGGGAGTAGTTTCTGGATGAACCATTATGATCTAAAGGCTTCCTATATACACTTAAACGTATGTTAATATTCTTATAATATATTAGATTATATTCTCTTCATGTATTTTATGTTTGACAAAAAGTGCTTGTCACATTGAATATTGTATTTTATTTTTCTAGTGCCGTATGTATCAGTGTGCCGAGCGTTGAAAAGCTATGATAAATAAATAAATTAAATTCCCGTCGTAGTACAACTTCTAAACTTAAACGTTGTTTCGATTAATTACTATTATAAATTATTCCCTTTTCTGCCTTAAAACCCCTGTAATGAAATAGTATTCGCGCTTTTTTATATACTTTTGAAAATGAAAATATTGCATCGCTTGATAGTGATTGGTTTACAGTCTCTAGACCAACCATAATCTATTGACAGCATCTGTCATATTCCAGCATAGAGTCCGCGGCACCACTCATTGCCGACGGAAAACCCTGGAACTAAATTTGTCGTTACAGTGAAATATTATTTTATTCGTTTTAAGGTGAAACATTAGAAGCAAATCTTGGAGAGTGGTTCGCGAATTTCTTATTAATTTATGTTACGTTGGGGAAAAATAGCCTTGCACCTAGCACTAGCAACATACTACGCCGCGCTACTCGCTAGCGCCGCGTCTATCGGCATACAGTGGTGGCGCGGACTCTAGTTATAGATCTAGCTCCTGGATTCGAGTTCTTTAAAATACCTGTTCAGCCTTTCTTTACCTATTACATTGTTCTTAGTGTTCGGAATCATAACTTAGCACGAACTGTAGGTTTCGTATGGCAAAACAGTGTATATCTAATATGATGTGGGCTCACAAATAATTATAAATTGTTAAATTGTTAGTATAAATTATGTAGATATAACCGACATATTAGTGCAATACAATATAACCTGGAGGATCCGATTCGAATATACGCTTGCCATGGGAACGTCCCGAAGCCAGCGTCGTCACCGCCAACGATTCTTCGCTGGGCTGTCTGCTTGCTGGTTGCTACACCACAACCTGGAAAGAAAAAGAGCTGGTTAATTTTTCTTTGTTATAAAGTGTTGTGATCGTATATCCTTTGTGTGTGACATCAATATGTCAATTTCATCCTTGGTCTTGCTTTCACACCATCAATAACAATAAGTTTTTGCTAACAATTATTGTTTAGTGAAAACCACAAACCCAGAATCACCAGACCAAATACATTATGACATATTTAAATTTCATGTAATGGACGTTATAGTATATTTTTATTTGGTCTGTTGAAATAATGGAAAAACTCCTCATAGGAGAAAAACGTGCTATCATATAGAAAACTAGTTATAGTTATTTAGATAAAGAGTAAAATTTATATATATTAAATAATAGGAAATTTCCAAACCTATGACCAGGCCATGACCAAGCAGGTTGCACGGAAAGTGTGCGAAATGTCAAACTTAAAATATATTTCTTCATTCGTTTTCATCTGTATATGTCACAAATAAAACGTATGTAATGGCAATAAACACGAATATTTTACAATTACTTTTTTAAAGTTTTAATTCTACTGTAATCTGTGCTGTATCTAAGCTAGTAAATATCTATAGTCCAACATAAAATACCGATGCTACACAACGCTGTTTTTTTACCTTTGTATTTGAATTTTGGAGCTTTTTCTTCAATTTTAGGGGGATCTTTCAAGTTCGGAAAAAGCCAGTTTAAAAATCCTTGAGAATCAATTCCATATAACAATAATAAAATTATAAGAAAATGATGATTCAATTTCACACATAACTTGAAATAACGCATTATAAGGCAAGCTTAAATTACACTTTAAATCTCACAGTTACAAGTTTATGGATTTTACACAAAAATAACTAATTCATATTAATTAATTTAATAATTAAATCACCAAAAAACAGTAACACAGCTATTCTAGATGATCACCTTATACTCGGACATTAACTTAAAAATTTAACTTTTGACAATTAACTACATCAGAGTTTCGCGCCTTTAATGTCTTCTAATAAACATCCCGAGCGTCCGTTTCATTGGACACGTTATAATCTACTGGACGTGATATAATCTATGTACATAATAGTGTAATAGAGATCCAAAAAAGTAAGTTATCGTAGCGTTAAATATTATACAAGACGTGTTTGGTCATACACTTGCACTATTTGCACTTCCGCCGACTTAACTTGTATAAATCGGTATTAGGAAGTAGTTTGTTAAGATTAATTCATAGTGTAAACAGTGAGGATAAGTTTGTCTTTGGGTTTAATGTGTGTCTTGTCACATAAGCATTCTTGGTCTACTGGTTAAGCATGCATTTATCAACCCTGATGTGTATTCGGACCCTTGTTTTTTTTTTTAAATAATATTATGGCCTGGTAACGAGACCTTTAAGCCAAACGGACCCTTGGATGTCTCAGACCATAAACAAACGTATTGCAGCACAGAGGTAATTTACTTGTCTATAAATAAATTGTGCGTGTACTAGGTGTACACACGTAAGAAGTGAAACTTCTTTATGATCTTATTTTTCGAAAAATGATCTACTATATGCAACTTTACAGAAATTCGTTAAATTAGATAAAGTTTAACAAAAGGCTTTTATTATCATAGACATGAATACAAATATTTCATTTTACCTTATTACTACGAAGATTATTATAGAATTTCATTAATTGTAATAGAATTATTACTATCATTGAAAAACGTGACGATTTGCTACAAAATTTCTCCGATACGTCGATAAAGAAGTTTCATTCCAACGCCGATAAAGATGTTTGACTTCAAAAAGCAACATGGCGCGTAACCGAAAAATGTGACGCGTAACGAAAAAATGTTACACTAAATTTTTTTCCAACCTCGATAAAGAAGTTTCACTTCAAAAATAAACGAAACAGATGAAGATGTAAAGTTAAAATTTTTGCTAAGGGTTAATGCGATGCCATCGCTACAAGATCATCCAAGAATTACGGCAAAGTTTTTTATCACGTCAAGATACTGCGTCGTTTTATATACGTATGTATAATGTATATACATATATTTATTCTCTGTTTATTACTATGCACTGTAGCACTGGAATCGGAATATTTATACTGTAAGTATGTAAAGTAATGTTTTAAAGTGTTAAGTACATATTCTCTCACGACTTTGGGGCTAAAATTTGTAGTTGTCTTGATGATGCCTAAAGCAAAGAATTTAATAATGACTTTGCTATAACGAAATATTATATTAATTACCTACTGTTCTATTGTTTATAATCATTAAAAATCTCTAACAGTCAAGTTTCACATAGTTTTATTTCAATAAGTAATAACAATATTAACTCCTTAATTTCGAACATTTTGGCATTAATTGATTGAACACATGTATGAATAAGTCCTTCAAGAAACAACATTCCGTAATAAACAATTCACCATTAATTTTAGAGATTTGCGCAAAAACAATTAAATTTAATTTGTCACACTAAATTGGAGCGTGAAAACTATTGTTTCCGTATTTTGCCATTGATTTTAATTCAATTGTAATAATCGTAAAGTATTTAAACACTCCTTATTCATAAATCATTATAATTGCAGCGTTTTAACTAAAACACTATTTAAGTAGTATATGTCTCTTTTCATAATACCGGTAACACAATTCAATAGAGACACGAAAAGTACTTTAGTTAAAAGAGTGGAAATAGGCCAGCCCTGCGATTCTGTAACTCACTTTTCGAACTCACACAGCGGTGTTGGCATCGGCGGTCGCTCTCAAATCAGTCGTGAAGCAGTCATTTTATGATTTGGCATTCTGAAAAGGTGGGAGCTTGCAGTTTATTGTTTATCAGAATGCCAAATCATAAAATGACTGCTTCACGACTGATTTGAGAGCGACCGCCGATGCCAACACCGCTGTGTGAGTTCGAAAAGTGAGTTACAGAATCGCAGGGCAGGCTTCGTGTTATGTGAATCGCTTAGTGAGATTACGCGTAAAAAAGCTTTTTCTTTCACGTGTTTCATTCAAAATCGGACTCGATACTCGTAGTTTTGACGGGTTAAACAGCGATTTTCGTATTTCTTTAACTTAAAATCGCATGTAACAGGATGAATGATAGCAGTAAAAGTGGTTTGAATAAAATGAAAAGTGTGTCACAGTTCTTGTGTTACCGCAGACACCACAACATGAAAGTTCATCTCTATATTACTTATAATAAATAAATGCGAAAGTTCGAAGCATACATTTAACTAAAACATTTATGACTGAGAAATACATAGAACTTTTGTAGATAAGAAACGCGGTATGACACAGACTATGAAACCAGAGACCTTCAGAAGTTAACATCTTTTCAAAGTACCAATAATTGTAAGATTTATGACATTATACATTTCGTAAAATGGTAGGTGATTATTTCACGGTATCTTAGCATCGGGCACAAGACATCTTGCGTGCGCGCATTGTTTGGTACAGCAATTTCAGTCACGGATGTCACCAATACCTAAATATAGAAATATTACTCAATAAATCGGAAAAATGGAACAATATTGCTTTAATAATGCGAGGATAGCCAAACACTAAGCCTTGCTAGTATATAATAAGATTGGAAGCATCTTTGGCCGAACTTTGTACTAGAACCCTTTCTGCTCTGCTCTGTCAAAACCTCCAGGCAAAATCTATGAAGTAATTTAATTTAATTACATTACTTTAAACTTTATAGAATATAAGTTTGAAATAAAACTAATAATTTTGGAATCATTTAAATTTAAGCAAAGGATTTTTAGACTCACATTCCATACCATAAAAGTACAAAGTGGATTCGAATAATGATCAAAAGGGAAAGTTTGAATCCGTTTGGACTCGTTACAAGAAACCAGCTTTGTAAACAACTGATCCTTTATAAAATAAAATGTAACAAGCAACCTTAATTTTTTTCAGCAAAATTAGCTATCAGTCAGATTAAAACATTTTTCTTAATTTTTTTTATTATGTATTTATTTATAAAAACACTCCTGCCCTAACGGGCAGGTATTGTTCACTCTTGTCAAATTAGGGAAATTTGACAAGAGTGAACAATTCGTTAACTAAATTAACATATTAGGGACCTACGAACCCTGTATCTTCCAATAACGATATTGACGGCGATTCGGATCTTAATAATGAGTTTTTGTTACGCGCGAACCCGACACATTATACTTAAAAATATATATAATGTTAATCTACTTTTTTATAGATTTCGGATATTTGTGGACTTCTTTCAAAAGAAGGAGAAAAATAACGAAGTAAAACAATGTTTTCTATTCTTCTCTTGTCTATATTTAGTGAGCATTAATTTTCAACCCCTTATTCCACCATTCCAATATTAGACACCTATTGTATGCATAGGACTCGCGACTTTTTTATATTTTAAGGATGGGTTATGTTGCCATTAAAAGCCAATTCATACAGACCTGATTTAGGAAAATAATGTTTTGGATTTATGGGTCTACGTAACTAATGGTTTTAGTAAACATATAATATTCATTTAATTATCAACACTTATTTGTTAAGCAAAAGTTTGTTGACCTGAAGAAAAACAAATTTTTAATAATTCAAAATAATATTTATGTTATCGTGTTATCAACTATTAAATATTAAATACCTCTCAATACTTACAAACTGTCTAAATAAGCATTTTACCCGGAAATAAATTTTCATTTTTCGAAACGAAATTACGCGCAATAGCTAATTATTTGAATCGACCTAACAGATTAATGTAACCCAAATTTTCCATTCTCAAATCATTCCAATGACTAACAATATCTGCAATACTTTCTCCATGACATAACATATGACATACATTACGTATTGTGTACTAACAAATTTAACTGTGTCGACGTGAGGGTATGCATACAAATCAATGGAATTGAGTTTATTATTGTTTACTAATTGTATACTTATTATTCTTGTCTTAAAGTACCGTGGCCTAATCGATGTGGAGAACTTTTCGTGTCTTAATTAATAAAATTAACTTTGATTAACGGATTGTCCCGTTACCTAACATTCTACAACACGTTAGCGTCACGTCACGTCTTTAGCAAAAGAAAGTACATATATATATAGTACAAGGGTGTGCAGGTACAAAATATGTCTCTATTCTTCAGCTTTTATAATTATTGGAATAATGTCCAACACGACTGGAATGTCTAGAGGTTCTTGTACAAGGCACAGGGATGATAAAATTTCACTAACATGGCAACATTACATATTTCTTGATTTTTATAGAGGAGGCTCACCTGATGTACCAACTTAATATCAACTTACCGCTGCCCATGGACACTCTCAATGCCAGAGGGCGAGTGCATAGCCGGCCTTTAAATAATTCGTACGCTCTTAAAGGACCCTAAGTCGAATTAGTTCGGAAATACTTCAGTGGGCAAATCTGCCTTTAATAATATTAAATTGATTGGTGATACAGGTGGAATTTTTTGGTGAAAAAATCTCAAAAGTATGAAATATTATGGGAAATACACGGGTATAGCATCAAGCAATAGGATAATACTAGAAATTGCAGAAGTTTCAAAAAAAAAAAAATCGGTTGTCTTTAAAGTTGGTTTACTGACGATAGTTGAACGTGACAACGTCATAAGAAAATGCTGATGGAATCAGAAGAAAATTTCAATTTTATTTGTTTGATAGATATTTTGTATGGATATAGAGAAGGTAAATGGAAATCACAATTGAATTGATCAAGTTACATTTATTTGTACGCATAAATACAATTATGTTATTTTTTTAACGAACGAATGCTGCCGAACGCGGATGCCGATTGTGCCTCTTTG